TGGTGATGATAGCGGTTATTTGGTGGTTGTGATGGTTATAATGATGATTTTGATGGAAAGAATCATGATGTTGATCATAATGGGGTTTTTTTGGCGACTATCACTATTGTTGTTTAAATTGTTGAACAGATTTAATGGTGCCACATCAGCAACATGACATGCAACAACAACATCTGATGAAGTTTGGCAACAATTTGTTGCAACAGCAGCAGCAACAACAAAGAATGTTGGACGATATTGTGGTCGCAACTGCAGGCAACATGTTGGAAACTACGACAGGTTATGGTGGTAAGAAAAAACAAAAGAAAGGCGCTCTATTGATTCAACAACAACATCAACAACAGATGTTGCTAACGCAGCAACAACAATTATTGCAACAACAACTCCTTCAACAACAGCAGCAGCAGCAATTTGTTGGATCAGTCGGGGACAACAACATTTTGTTACAACAACAACTGCAACAGCAGTTGCAGCAACAACAACTCCAGCAGCTACAGCAGCAGCAACATTTTCAACAGCAGCAGCAACAGAATCAGTTGATGAAACAAATGACTCCGTCGTTGCCTATGGATGTGAGTTACCGTTGTAACGTTACGTTGAATGTTAAAGTTTTTGTCGGTAGGTATTTATGTTTTCGACATTGGATGATGTTGTTGCATGCTATTGTTAGAATGAAAATTACGATGTCATTCGAGTTGCCATTTAGTTCAACAGAGACACATGCACACTTGCAAAACGAGTTCCCTCACACACTCATTTATTCCATCTGACAACAGAAGACCTCCGTAAACAGTTTGATAGCAGCAACAGAGCAGCTGTCAAGACAGTTGCAACAGCAGCAACTACATGAACCAGTTCTGCTAAAGGAGCCTGACGTCATCATCAACAACCTCCATTTTTGGCCGTCACTGGGATTCATGGTCAACCAGGCCCAGAGATGTACCAAAGGATCATTTGGTTGCGTTGAAGTGCCTCAAATGCAGAAATTCAATCGTTATTTCAATCCTCCCTTCCTTTCTGCTCTTAAAAGCCAGCCAGAAAGTTCAAAGTTTAGTCAAAGTCATGATTGTAATGAGCCGTCGTCTTCCGTTACTGCCGTTGTTGCTACTACTATTACTACTAGTAATACTACTGCTACAGTCGGTAGCAGTGGTAGCGATGGCAGTGGTAGGAGTGGTGGCGCCGTGATGAACAGTGCTTTCAAGGGCAATCAGGATATTAAGATGGTTTCTCTTGTGAAAGGTTTGTTATTGCCGGGCTTCTATGTTTTCTTTACTTTTTACACATCCTCGTGTTTTTTCCTTATTTTCTGGGAAGGCAAAAGTTTATTTAAATAATTAAATCGAAACGAAGATACGTAATAATTAAATTGTTAATGGAAAATTAAATTAAAAATGTTTAAATTCGTTCAGAGGATCAAATTGAGCAGATGGACATAAGCATAGATACTGCCTTAAAACACGCAGCAACAACAACAACATCAACTACAACATTTTTCACATCAGCAACTTTAACAACTACAATGACGTCGACAAATGTTGATCTTAAAAGTTCATCTGTGGCGACGACGACAACGTCGTCAGCCTTCTCCTTAGTAGCAGCATCAACGTCCTCGCTTATTAATAATTACTTGAACTACATCAAACAGCAACAGCAAGCCAAACACATCCGTCCGCCTACTAATCCAAATACTGCAACCGACGCAAAACAAATTTCACCTACCACTACTACTACAACGTCTACTTCATTTGCCAGTAGTGGTAGTGGCTGTAGCGTTAACAACTCCAATAATATCAGCAGTATGTTTTCGTGTGGTGACATCAAATTTGAGCCTCCGTCTCCTCCCTACATCGAACCTCGTCATCCTGTCGCCACTGATGGACCGTTAGTGGTTATCATTCTTATCATTTTACCAACTGCAACCATCTTTTTAATTATCTATGCTATTAATATAATGTTCTCATGTTAAAAGTATTATTGTTGTTGTTGTTGTTGTTGTTGTTGTTGTTGTTGTTGTTGTTGTTGTTCATATAATCATTGTTAATATTGATGAACCTTCCTTTCTGGCCGTAGAACTCCTCCGATGTTGGCGCCATCGTCATCACCAGAACTTGAAGATCTGCCGACAGGCGCACCAACGTCATCGTCGTCATCATCCACATCATCGTCGTCATCACTTTTGACTTCCGATTGTAATTTCCTACTTCCGGCATTACGAAGCACGTCATCCTTTTCTACTTATGCGTCGTCGTCGTTTGCTTATTTGTCATCATTAGTTCATCAGCCTCCGTCGTCATCATCATCAACATCAACAACGTCATCATGTGCAAATAACACTGTGCAGTCTGAGGAAGGCAGTGCTGCTGGTGTTGCGATGGTTGCTGTTAAAAGCGAAACTGAAAGTTGTGCCTCACCACAAATTCCCATTCTTCATGAACATCTCATAGGTATTTGTTTGGTGGTTTGCATTTCTCATGATGGTGAAATAGTAACAAATTAATGAGGTTATGACTAAATGATGATGATATGATGGCCCTGATAAGTGTAACAACAAAATGATGATGTTAATGAGTTAATGACTGCAGCTGCTAGCGTTAATGTTCTTGTTTGAAATGATGTTGATGGTGATGTAGAGATGGAAAATACAATTGTTAATAAAACTCGATAATTTGATTGTTATTTCCCCCACCACTTGAAAAGCGCCGACAAGCACAGATGCATCGACCACTACCACCAGCAGCACCACAGCAGCCGGCACGACTGAGGAGGTGATGGAGGAGCAGGACGAGGTGGACGTGAAGCCAGTCTTCACAAAGCAACAACGAGACCTGGTTCTTATTTCTCTGTTTCAACCGGCAATTTACCGTTCTGTTGATTTAATCATTAGATTGATTATAATGGCTGAATTGATGAAGGAATTAATGGATGGATGGATGAATGAATGAATGAATCAATCAATCAATCAATCAATGAATAAAAGGTGCATAGCAAATAGGATGGATTTGGTCTTTCCCAAGCAATCCCACGCCTACTCAAACATGTGCATACCAACATTCACCTGTTTTTTACGCAAATTTTTACGTTCAGTTCAGCATGTCTAAGTTTTTACTTAACTATTTAAATTCTTTTTTTCATTATATCGAAATTTTTTGCACAGGCATCTTCTTTGGATCAGAAACCGCAACTGACTCAGCAGCAGCACTTGCTGAAATCCTGTCACCAGCAGCAACAACAATTCCTCGAGCACCAAACAACGACGGACACGAGTTCTGAGCCAGCTGAACAAGTTTGTTCAAATCTTTACTTGTAAAAAAATAATCGCTATTGTTGATCTAAACGAGATTATACCTGACCCCATTCAATCACTCACATCAACCTGGTTGGACCTCTCTTGCAGGTGTCAGTCATGTTGACCTTATCAGTAAGTTCAGCCGAGAACATAGGCGGGGTTATTGCAGCTATAGCAGACCTGCTGAAGATTGCAGTTCCTCCAACTTACGAAATCACAAGAAGTCCCTCACCCCCACCTCCCGATCAGTACAAAACACCATGGAACTCTTATGCCAAACGTTAGTGTTGCTGCTCCCACACTGCTTGCCAGTAATTTTCTCCGGATGGTTTCTCTTTAATTGTTGGTGTGTCTGTTGTTTGTCATGGGATTCGTTGACTGGATGTTGTCGGATCGTTGTCTGCTTGTGCAAAGTTGATAGCATTAACTACTTCATTGAATGACCAAACAGACGCATGTACACACTCGTGTATTTGCATTTAAACGCTCATTTGCACGCATAAAAACACACACACGTACATGCACGTAACGTACAACAATCAGATCGCGAGACGGCCGTCAACATACAGTCACTGATGCGCATGAAGACGAGATTCTGCAAAAACTGCGACGGCATCGTCTCTGGCTCGGGAATCAAGAAGCCCAAATCAGAGATCTTTTTGAACGTGCTGGAAGGCGCTGAGGTTACTACGGATGCCTGTTGTTTGCGTTTGGATAAAGCGTTTATTTGTGTGTGTTTGTAGATGTGAACATGTATGCGACGAACGACAACCTCATACAAATAACGTGCAATACAAACACACATTTACAGTGCGACACGGAGGACGTAGTTTTTTGCAGCCTTTCTTGTTGCCAGCACTTCACAACAACTTGCCAGCAACTCGTCAAACACAATCAGCAGCAGCGGCAGCAGCAGCAGATGCGTCACGACGCACTGATGACTTCATCTATGACGTCCATGCTGGCCTCCACTGCCATAGTCTCATCATCGCATACTTCCCACTCGACTTTCATCGACATCAAGCGTCCCTTCTCCGGGGTACTGGACGCTAAACTGTCCGTCTTTTACTCGTCTTCACAAGTGCCATCGTCGTCGTCGTCGTCAACGCTACCTCAGTCGTCAGTGTCGTCACTATTTTACAATCAGTCTTCTTCTGCCACATCCTCATTCCCTCTGGTTAAGCCGAAACTCGAAGTCGTTGGTGACGGCTACCACGGTGATGTCGTGACGTCGTCGTCATTAGGCGCGTCATTTTCATCCACGTCGTCATCTCACGTGTACTCGACGAAGGGTTCGTACATGACTCCAGGGATGGCAAGTGGGTTGTACACAACTTCAACAACCCCACTCACGCTGAATACAACCCTGAGTGCTGCCACTTCATCTTATCTGCTGTCTTCACCGACGTCATACAGAAGGTGGGATGGAAGGAATTTGAAGGGAGAGGGGTTGAGTGTAGGTGGAATTGTTGGTCCTGCTGCTGCTGCTACTGGCGGTGCAGCTGTCTGTGGTGGTGGCAGTGCCTCTAATAAGGTCGGTGGCTTCAGTTGATCAGTTTAATACGTAATTCAGATATTTTCATTTGATAAGTCTGTTATTTATAAAATTCATTTTATTTTTTCTTCATATTGTTCATTCATTCGTTCTTTCATTCACTCATTCATTCTTTGATCCGTGCATGCAGACGAAACCATGGAAACACACGGATAAGATGAATAGATGGAATGCCAGTCTGATCAGGCCACCAGCCGTTCAGAAGGTCTTTGCTGAGAAAGAAGCAGCCGAGGTAAGTCACTTGCCCGGTGGTGATGGTTTAGTGGGTGATGAATATGATGATAGGATGACAGTGATGTTGTTTTAATGTTAATAACTACAATGATGAGAGTCATATTTGCATATGTTTTGATCATACGTAGATCGTAGGTCTCTTTATGTGTTTCTATCTTCTGGTATGTTATAATGTAGTCCTGATTCTAAGTGTGTATGTATTTTGGTGAATGCCTTTAATGTATTTTATTCATCCTGAATTTTATAATGTAACAGGATTTTTTTTACTTTGGTTGGGGCATGGGAGGGTGATGTTCGCGCTCTTTTATTCTTCTATTCATGTTATGTTGTAGTGCTTATCAGAGCAATTACAGTCATCGTCATCATATTTTTTGTCACGTACTCATCATCATCGTCATCATCATCGTCATCATCATCATCTTGCAGTCCCTCGAAGCACAAGGAACAATAATACGACCGAAATTGAAAATATCCGACTCAAGGTCATGTGTTCTCTGCAAGGTCACTGGAGACGCATACACCAATGGACCTGGAAGGTAGATTGGTTTAGTGATTATGATGATGATGATGGTGGTGGTGGTGGTGGTGATAGTGATAAAGGCGAATGTCTAATATGAGAAACATAACGATATAAGAACTTGTATGCACCGCCCGTCAATTCATTCAACGTCTCAAGTTCGTTTGTGTGACGTTGCAGAGGAGCATTCAAGTAGTAATAAACATCAACAGCACACCAGCAGAAACAACACACGCAACGAACAAACACTGCAGGTTACTTCTGTTGAATGTCGACAAGTGGGTTCACTTGAACTGCGCCCTCTGGTCTTATGAGGTCTACGAGACCATGAACGGCTCTCTAATGAACGTCGAACAAGCCTGTAGACGTGGCACTGGCATCGATTGCATCGTCTGCAGACAGTCTGGCGCCACTATCGCCTGCTTCCGACCCAGGTGCGCTAATGTCTATCACCTGGATTGCGCCATCAAAGATGAAGCTGTTTTCTATCAGGACAAGGTGAAGGGGGAATGATGATGAGGATGACGATGAGGAGAATAGTGATGATGATGATGATGATGATGACGACGACGGCGATGATGATTATTGGTGGTGTTATTTGTGATAGCGTTTGAAAGTAGTGAGAACCTGTCTTTAGTTTTTTCATGATTTGTTTTATAATTTGCTACTTTATAATCTGTATAAACAACCATCATTCAATCTTCTTGCTCATTCGTCGTCACTGACGTCATTATTGAACTTTTGAATGCAGACGATACTGTGTCGGCAGCACGCCACGAGGTCAGACGCCTCAAGCGTCCTCACGTCACTGTCTGTCTTCAGGAGGGTCTACGTCAACAGAGATGAAGAGAAACAAGTGGCCAGGTCGGTTTATGTGTGTTTTTATGTCTCTCACTCTTTCTCTCTCTCTCTCTCTCTCTCTCTCTCTCTCTCTCTCTCTCTCTCTCTCTCTCTCTCTCTCTCTATCTTTTCGTTTTTTTCTCTCTCCAACTACTTTCTTAATTTTTTAGCCAAGCTTATTTTTATCTATCTAGTAATACATTACGAGTCAGACACACTTTTCCTGATGTCCTTCCTGTCAACTGTGCAGGCAGTGATATTCACGAATAGACCTAATCGTACATGAGGAAAACACGTGCACGATAATTAATGACTGAGTTGAGCACGCAGTAATACATAGGGAAACATACAGCACACCCACAAACATGCACATTGACGCAGTTTTATATGACTAGGTCATGCAAAAAATAAATTCGTGTCAACAATACAGTTCATAAACAGACATGCCTATGTGTACATAAGGATTTGTATGCACAAATCCTTATGTACACATAGGCAAGCATACACATACATATATACACATACACGCGCACAGAACGATGCAGCACGAAGAGAGGAAGTGTGTTTTGAGGCTTGGAGGAGTTGTGGTACACAATCTAGGCCAGTTGTTGCTTCATCAGATCCAAAGTGGTCTCTACAACAATGCCGACTATATATATCCGGTTGGCGGTGCTGATGATGATGGTGATGGGGACGCTGATGATGAGTTGAGTGGCTAGAGGAATGTTTGCAATGACGAAGAAGCGTTGTTATCTGGAGGAATGCGTTTAATAACTGTTTATGCTGATAATCTGATTAAAATTTGGCCAATGAATGCTGTTACAAGTTTTTTAACTAACCAATCAAACAAACATTTGGTAGATTAATCAAATAACATTCATTCATTCATTCATTCATTCATTCATTCTATCAATCATAGGTGGGTTTCAAGAGTTCTCGTTTTTACTGGAGTTACAGGCAGACAAATAAAAGATGCAGATACCTCTGCAAGATCGACGACGGTGGAGATGACGGTGGTAGTGATGGTGGTAGTGGCGGCGGCGGTGGTGGTGGTGGCGGACCGGTCTTCTCGGTGGTCGTTTTTGAGAAAGGATTTGAACAGACAACATTCAAAGATAGCACTTGCAAAGGTAGAGACGGCTCACTCTTCCGATATAAATGATATAATTCATCATCGCCGTTTCACTCTTACCATCGTCCTAGTTAAATTGAATGCCATCTTGTTACTCATTGCACTCGGCTTTCTGAAGCTTCCTGATATCCATCGTCACTTTTGAAATGAAGTCCTTTCCCTCGCTGATGCAATCCATTAAACGTAAATCAAACGAATAAGCAGTCTAACTTACAATAGTTGTTGCCACCAATCCCTTTGGAGTCATCATCTACATCGTCATCTTTTTATTTTATCATTATTATTCTTTATTTTTTTATCTTGTTTTTTTTTTATCATCGTCATCATTGTTGTTTATAATCATGTTATCAGGGGTGTGGTCCCAGATATTGACGCCCTTGGAAAAGATGAGGCGGGAGAACGACCTTGTGAAGATATTTCCTCTCTACCTGTCAGGGGAGGATCTTTTTGGTCTGGGAGAGCCCACCATTGTCAAGCTCGTCGAGTCGGTAAGTCCTGTTGGGGTAGTGCTGAAGTGCTGGTTGTGTGCTGGTGGTGGTGGTGGTGGTGGTAGTGGTCCATCATAAATTCTTATTGTCCTTCCAATTGTAATTTTAGTCATTATCACAGCCATTTTCGTTGTCGTTTCGGTTACATTCATCATCATTATTATTATTATCATTATTATTATTATCATTATTATTATTATTATTATTATTATTATTATTATTATTATTATTATTATTATTGCGATCACCGCAGTTGCCGAGCGTCGAGTTGCTGCCGAATTACAACTTCAAGTTCGGAAGGACTCCCCTCTACAAACTCCCACTGGCCGTCAACCCCAGTGGCTGTGCGCGTACTGAACCCAAACTAAGGATGCATTTTAAGAGGTACATAAGTATTCGGGCCTCTTTATTTATTCGCAGCCTGTTTGTTTGTCTGTCTGTCTGTCTGTCTGTGTCTGTCTGTTTGTCTGTCTGCTACCTGCCTGATTTTATAATGACATGATTGATTGTGTGGTTATCTTGCGTATTCTGGCAAACAAACACATACACCCACCCACCCACACACACCACACACACACACCACACACACACACACCACACACACACACAAGCATTTCTAGCATGTATTTGCATGAATGAAGATACAAATTCATGATGATGCACTTAAATTCACACACACACACACACTCACACAGACACACGCGAACACAAACAAACGAACACACACACTTGAACAGGCCACACGCCTTGCACGGCAGCAACAGCAGTAGCGGCAGTCGGAACTTGCAGTCTCACCTGAGCATGTTGCGTTCGAGTGAGTCCACTCCTTACCTCAAACAGTTCGCCCACTCGAAGACGCAGCAATACAGGAGGTTAAAAACTGAATGGAGAAATAATGTCTACCTCAGAAGGTCTAATATACAGGTCTGTCTGTCAGTCTCTCTGTCTGTCTATTTCACTCTGTGTTTGTTGTTGCTGTTGTTGTTCGAGGATGCATGATTATGTGTTCGTGTTTTCACCTGCGTGTGTTTGTGTGTGCGTGTATGTGTGTGCGTGTATGTGTGTGTGAATATGTAATCAATCCCTATTCTCTAATTCCCATGGTTTATAATATTTTATAACTTCGTTTTCTCGATTTTTTTTTCATCTTATCAAAAAACGATTGAGCCAAACCATCAACGACGACGACGATGGCGTTAACCCACACAGGGCCTAGGCTTGTTTGCAGCCCGTGAACTTGAAAAGCACACCATGGTCATTGAGTACATCGGTCAGCTGATCAGAGCTGAACTGGCTGAGAAGAGAGAGAAGATTTATGAAAAAAGCGTTAGTAATTGTTTCATTCTTTGTATGTTTTCATGTATGTCTGCATGTATGTCTGCTTGTATGTCTGCATATATGTCTGCATATATGTCTGCATGTATGTGTGCATGCAATTTATAAAAGTGTATAATTACATGCTTCGTGTACACATGCTTTCTTGTTTTTTTTACCCGTTCTACATGTTGGTGTGAGCGTATTTCATATGCCCGGTGCGTCGGTCGTTTTCAGTTTGGAAAATTCCTATGTGAATTTTTCTGCGGTGTACTTACTACTATCCAATCTTTCTCGTTCCAATGTCTCATTTCTCTACGACAATCTGCTCGCTCGCCACATTCCGTCTGTCTCGCCTATAAACAACAACCGATATGGAAATGAATGAGTGACCGTACCGTAACAAGTTATCAGTAAGAAATGACGACGCATGATGACGAAGATAAACATCAAAACAACAACAGAACCACGGCGTTTACATGTTCCGCATCGAGAACACGAACCTCGTGGTGGACGCCACAATGAGTGGTGGGCCTGCCCGCTACATCAACCACTCTTGCAATCCAAACTGTGTGGCCGAGATGGTGCCATTCGAGAAGGAGAAGGACAATAAGATCATCATCATCACGAAGAGGAAGATTGCTCAGGGCGAGGAGGTTGGCTTTGTGATGATGATGATGATGAGGTGGTGGTGGTGGTGATAGTGATGATGGTGTTTGTGGCTATGAAGACGATTAATAAATAATTAACCGTAAAATTGTTTAACAAAAAATTTATTATTTTGTATTTATTATTAACATTTTTTTAAACGTGATTTTTACTGCCAACGTTAGCTCTGCTACGACTACAAGTTTGACTTGGAAGATGACCAGCACAAGATTCCTTGCCTCTGTGGTGCTCCCAACTGTCGCAAGTGGATGAATTAGTGCGTGTGTGCGCGCGTGTGTTTGCGTGCGTATGTGGGTGGTTGGCCATTTATGATGAATGGCTACTGAATAATACAATAGTTAATTGACCCTAAAATAAATTTTAGTATTTTATTTGTGTGGCAGCAGTACAAAACGCTTTGAATTGGTATTGATGGTGATGACGACCGCAGAGTGATGACGGGATGAGGATGGTGATAAAAATGATGTAATAATTTGCCGTGGTTATGACGTACGCTGCTGAACTGGAGTAATAAATAGAACGAATGGAGAAGATGGCAATTGCATTGATTGCACTGTCAACATAGAATCTTACAGTGAGTCAGTCGATAGATGGAGCTGATGGTCAGTGAGAGTGCACTTTTCATTTTATTAAGGGACGATATTTTTGTTAATCATTTTTAGTCATGCGACGATATCATTATCAGTTTTATTCTATTTGTATCTTCCTCACATGCTGGGATGGCGGTTCCATCAGAATTTATCTAGTTTTAATTCTGAAAAAATATAGACGTTCGAAGCTTAATGCAAGTTGATCATGCAATTAAACAATCAAATCTCATGAATAATCAATCGATCACTCAAATCAATCAGTCAAATCAACCAATCGGCCAATCAATCAATCAATAGATCGATCATTTAACCAATAGTTTGTATTCACGTGCAATCATCTGATTCAACCAACAATTATGTTATTCATTTATTCATTCATTCATTTATTCATTCATTTATTTATCAGCTGAACATTTTTCATTCTCATTTCATCATGAAAACGTTTAACATTTTTATATTATATAATATATATTACATCAATGGTGTTACTTTTAAACGGACTTCATAATGATGATGATCATCGTTATTATTATTATTATTATTATCACAAATTTATTTATTTTCCTTATATTTTCTGAAAAATATATTTCACATAACTTTCATTGTAATGGACAGGAAGATGCGCTTTTCTATCTTACAGCTTTTTTTATTTTCGTTGGTTCAATTTTAACGTTAATTTGCTTTCTTTCAAATTGTCTAATTATCTTTTAATAATAAAAATCATCAATTAATTCATTATTTAGTTCTTTTTCTTTAGTTCTGTGTGAATATTCCAATCGTGGAAAGGCACACACACACATACAAACAAACAAGCGAACAAACACACATACGTGTATTTTATACATACACATACGTGTACTTTACACATACGTTTATTTTACACATACACGTATACAACAGAGAGACATTTGTTTTGACATACATGCGTGTATAAGTTTGACATTTACATAACTAAAAATCGATTTTGAACGAGCGCGGTGTGAATTTGCTCATTCATTCATTCATTCACACATACCTTAATTTATTTTCAGCCATTCGCTGCAAACAAACAGTATTTTGTATCATATGTTTACTTAAGAGGAGTGTGTGAATTACTAATATTTATTTCTAGCATTTGATTTTCACTCATTCGTTCGTTCGTTCGTTCGTTCATTCATTTATTTATTTATTTATTGAAGGGCACTGGAATTTTCTAGAACTTTTTATTTTATTAAAAGTAAACTACATTCTTTTTCATTGCTTTACAAAAATAAAATTTATATATATATATATATATATATATATATATATATATATATATATATATATATAACAATGAAGATAATATAATAATTATTATATTATTATTATTACTCAACAGCACATGGAAAACACGGAGTGGAGATGTAACGATATACAATGATGTAAGTAAGTGCATGTCAAATCAAACACTGCCATACATGAATTTACGAATGTGTACTTACAAGTACAACGCATACCGTACATGTTTTCGTTGATACCTAGATAGATAGATATAAGATATACACTACGCACACGTGATGAAATTATCGAAAAAATACTCCAAATGAAACAATAAGGACGACAATGAGGCACTATTCATGAAGTAATGGGGTGACATTTGTGTGTATGAAATGTAGCCGATCATGGAATTAATTTCTTTCTAGACATAAATTTATAAACTTAATATAGCACAACAACTAAAAAATAACATATAATATAGCATGGATATAAAAATATTTGTATATCTATGCAATATAATAATCAATGAATAATAATTTCAATTATTGTTCATCACAAGCGTTTGCTGGGTCCACTGACAAATAAAGGCATATGTTAGTTGCTCAAAAATAAGTTATAGAAAAATTAGAAATAAAAAATACTAATATGTATATATATATGTGTGTGTGTGTGTGTGTGTGTGTGCGTGTGTTTAAGTGTGCCCCTAATTATATGTAAATAAAAATATGAAAACAATTGGGTTCTTGGTCCACATTCGATGATAATTACGTATAATCAAAATGAAAATATAGCATAAGAACTATAATTATTATATATGTGTATGTATGCGTAAAACATAGAAAATAATGTTAAAGATGAATTGTATATAGTGAATTAATAAGGCCTTCGTATATGTGATGCTCGCTTGTTAAAAAGATAGAGGAACTTGACGTCATAAAGTATGGATAAGTGTTTAATTAATTGTTGGTAGAGCTCTGAATAACAACGATAGCTGTGATGACGTGATGAAGAACCTGACGTGATGACGAAGATGGTGAGAGGGTAAATGATTATGAAGATTAATGAGGATGATTTAGTCGTCGTTTTGAAAGTGACGTTGGTCCTTCTGGTGATGCTATTAAATTGTGAGGCGTTTTATTTCAAGTGTCAAATCACTGAACCATAAAAAAATTATAATTAGAAATATTGTGAAAAAAATCACGATTTTTTGCATGCGATGATGTCATCTGCTCGTCAATGAGTCAAAAACTGTTGAAGTACACCTATTACTTACCATCGATCCTATCTGCTGACCTCGTCAGTCAATGAATGATGATCATCAAAATAATGAGATACATAATTTATTACACACATACACACGCACGCACACACACACACACATAAAACAATTATAATGTTTTAATTATGAAAAAACAAATTAATAATAGACAACAACAATAAATACGTACTCGGTCAAAAAATAATTTAAAAAGAAAGCGAGCTAAACAATTTCAAACAATGTATTCATCCACCCATCCATCCATTCATCTCAGCCATCATGTTTATTCATTTAATCAATCAACCAATCAATCATTCCATCCACACCTAAACAACGGTGACGTAATAACAAGCAGTAACGTTTATATATATATATATATATATATATATATATATATGACGTAGATAGAAAGGCGGCACGAAGACAGCAGAAACCTCTGCACACAATTTGTAAACATAATTATCATAATATATTATAATTAATTATAAGTAAAACACGAGAGGTAAAAATAATTTCCAAACAATTATAAACTCACAAAGGCGGACGCTAACAAAATATAACAGTCATAAAACTCCCTTTTCGGTTATATATGCCATGTATCCAAATGTCTGTAGTTCAACTGAAGAAATATTACTGCATTTTCAGTTAATTCTTTTTTATTCTCCATAACGCAGATCTGTCAAACGAAGAGTTTCCTACATCATATTCTTCTTCCTCTGCTATTCTAGGGCGTTTTAGCACTACTAGACAATCTATTCTCTGGTATTCTATAATCGTAACATTATATTCTCTGGTATTCTATAATCGTAACATTCTATTCCCTCGTATTCTATACTCTGAACTGAACCATCCTGTCACAAAGACTGTACAACACCATGCACAACACACGACGCACACACACACGTTCTTCACGCACGCGCAAGCACCGCACCATCGCCTATGATGGTCTTTCAGTATTCGAACCATGCCATCGCGTAATAGCAGTGCGAGACGTGGCACTTCTACCGACTGAGCTAACTCGATGACTTAGCACAATTATATATCTAACTTGTTGTATGTATTTTAATTTCATCTTCATCATTCATATTACTAATGCAACATATAACCTCCATGATATTATTACCTAAAACTATTTTTACCAACAGTAAAAGCCTTCAAGCTTAAAACATGCACCTGACCACACGCAATTACTAAGACAGGACAGGGCTGTCACTGTAATCGAACCAGATAACTTAGCAACTGATTGTTACTGTGGGCTACTCACCAAGCCAGCCAACAGTACAAGAGCGTGAGATGGAAATTGTCGATTAATCATTAGGCTGCATAGCACGTTATAATCAAACAAGATAATTAAGTTGAAAATTTGAAATCTATATAGAAAATATAAAAATAAATAAATATATATATATATACATATAGGTACAATCGTAAGAGCTCTGGTAAAAAATAAATGAAATTGATTCATCAATCGTTAAACAACTTCCAAATACAAAACACAATACGTAGTAACGCAGTGATGATTAGGAGACAGAGCAATGACGATGTCAACAACAAGATGCTGACGTCGATGAAGTATGACGACGACGACGATGAAGTCAAATGACTCCATGGAAAGAAAAAAGATGGCGTCACTAACGATGATGATGATGGCTATGTTAATTCCGTAAAACAATCGTAATATAAATACAAATACAAGACAACATAACTAATTCGAAGTATAAAAGCCATCGTAAACATCTGATGATGGTGATAATAATAATGGAGGTAATAATAAAAACAATAAAAATAATAATAAGAACAATTACAGCAACTATAAATAAAACTGGAATAAAAATAATTATAATATAAAGTAATAATAGTACCAACAAAAAAAAATAATAATAATAACATCAGTAAAACAAAAATAAAAATGACCATCATGGATCCATGATCAAAGAAGGGGAGAGATTAGAGTTATGAACGAAAAATGTAAGCAGATTCAAGTCTTTACGATAAAGTTAATGACGCCTATAACTGCGGTGAAGATGATTACAGCGATGAGAATGACGACGGGGGAGATTAATTAATATTGATGGTAATGGAGATGATAATGATAATATAATCAATCAATCAATCAATCAATTAACCAATCAGCCAATCAATTAACCATTCCACTGGATTCAAAAATCGATCAACTAGCCAATCAACCAATCAAACCACAATCCATTTAATTAATTGGTCACTCAATCAACAAATCAACCAATTAATCAAACAACTAGTCAATCAATCAATCAATTAGCCAACCAATTCACCATTCAACTGGCTTTAAAAATCGGTCAACTAGCCAATCAACCAATCAATCTACATTCCATATAATTAACTGGTCACCAAATCAACTAATTGACCGATTAATCAATCAACTAGTAAATCATTTAGTCAACCAATCAATCGATCAATCAATCATTGGCCTCGGCAGGTAGGCACTCGATGATGGTCTTCATAAAGGAGGCAGCCACGAGAGCAGAATAAGGTTGCCAGACGACATTCTTGGTACCATCGTAGTAGTCGCACACTCCTCGGACCAGGATAAAACTGTCCTTTCTGTTTCCCACTATTGATTCCAGGACCTGATATTAGAGTGAGGTGGTGAGGAATGATGATAAGCTAGCGTAACTATATTTCCAATAAATAACACACAACAACACACGCTCACGCAAGTACACAGAGAGAGGAAAGAATATAGAGAAATATGAAGCACAGGATCATCAGACCTGATCGAATTCAGTATCGACGCCGATGCACTGGTGCCTGGCTGTGAACTCCATTCTCACTTGGTCATCTTTCACAATCGGCTTGCCTGATGCTATGCAGCCAAGTCTGTGTGTGTGTGTTTTTGTATGTGTATGTGTATGTGGAGGTGCATTCATTAATTGTGTGTATTTGTGGTGTTATTCATGCGTTTGCTTTATGTGAAGTGCATGCAAACTACAAGTGTATGTAAATACATGTGTGGATATGCATCCATGTCAATCAATCAATCAATCAATCAATAAATCTTCGTTTCGCGTCAAGAGACCCAGTTCCCCCGAGGTAGGACATGCATCCATGTAGGTATGTGCATTTATACACAGATAAAAACATGGATAGTTTTTGCCTCTTGGTAAATAAATGAGTTTGTTTTAAGAGTGGTCAGCGCACGTGCAAATAATATAGCGTGTACAAAACATCTTAAGGTAGGTGTGTTACACGTTATTTATATATTTGATAAGTTTGAAAATAGTTATCATTTGTCAAACAATTAAATTACTAATAAAACGAAGAAAAAACAAATAAAAAAATAAAAAACAAACCTGACAACAGGTTGACCCTGTTTCTGTTTACCCTTGACCTCCTCAGGGACAGCAGGGTGGCCCACTTCTATCATGTCACTTCCTGGGTGGACAGATAGCAAGGGTAGGGTAGTGAAATAGGTTAAATTTGTGCAGAACCATTGAATTCAAATCGTTAAACACTTATGCTTTGAGTAACAATAGTCGTTGTGTTTGAGGTGCTTCAAAATAATTTTTGGTAGTGCTGATTTTTATCCAATAATCGACAAAGCAAAAATGACCAAACTGTGATAAGTTAAAAAATTACCTATCGAAAACATTAAAAACACCAATGGCTGCAACAAAAGCAACTGACAATAAACAAAGACGGACCTCCGATGTTCATGAACAGACGATCAGTTTCAGGACGAGGTCGTTCAAAGGTCACTTGTTGACCTTGAAGGAGAGCTTGACCTTCTCGTAAGTATTCACTCCATGGTTCAAAGGTCGGATCACTCTGATGGTTCAAAGGACAATTAGATTGTTAATTAACTTAATCATATAATAACGACCATTCTCACACCACATTCCAAAAATGTAAAAAATAAACATATCAGCTAAAAGATGACAATTTAAATTAATAAATAACACTTTTGCTTAATTAATCAAATAAATATTCACAACTACTACATCAAAAAAATCAACCACCATCCTGTATTACCAATACATAAACTTGAACACACATCAACATACAAACACACATCAACATACAAACACACATCAACATACAAACACACATCAACATACAAACACACATCAACATGCAAACACACATCAACATGCAAACACACATCAACATACAAACACACATCAACATACAAACACACATCAACATACAAACACACATCAACATACAAACACACATCAACATACAAACACACATCAACATGCAAACACACATCAACATGCAAACACACATCAACATGCAAACACACATCAACATACAAACACACATCAACATACAAACACACATCAACATACAAACACACATCAACATGCAAACAAGCATCAACATGCAAACACGCGTCAACCTGAGATTTGTCATAAAGCTGTTCGGCAATGCTCCTGAGTATATTATCCTGTGGCGCCCAGCTCTTCAAGGCATACTGCACTTGTCCCCTCTCCAAATCTGGAACCACTTTGTCGCAGTAGATGTACACCTGTATGTGTATTTGGGTATCATTGGTAGGTATACTAGCATAATGTATTGGGTGGGTATATTAGCATATGTTGGGTGGGTATATTAGCATAATGTGTTGGGTGGGTATATTAGCATGATGTGTTAACATCAGTGTTTCCCTTAAGTTGCAGGCAGTAGTTCGTACATCCATGCACAACTAACCTGCCCTCTGAGAACAATTTCCTCCAAGTTCATTTTATAATTAAAAATCTGTTACAATAAAATGTTTGTGCAAGTATAAGGCTTTTGTTTCTAGGAAAAGATTGCTCAAAATACAAAGTGTTTCTCTGCTCATTCAAAATTGCACACAGCCTGTAAGACGGGAGATAGATGCATGTGTCTGAACATCTGTTCATGTGTTTTCAAGCGAATCTAGTTTAATAACTAGTCACTAAACCAATGAGATTAAAATAGTACATCAACAAAATACTTTGTTGTTAATCAGCTTACAACTCTAGAATAAAGTAACGCTTTGATGATTTGATTAACCATTAAACTAACCAATCAATCATTCGTTCAATCACATTGATTTATTAATTTTTTTTATTCATTCATTCATGTTCAACTACTCATTCATACTGACAAACCTGTCCTTTTTTGTTGGGCATTGAAACAATGATGTCCCCGAGACGAACGTGGTTGTAGTAGTCTGAGAAGTGTGGAACGCCGCCACATACGCCCACCAATAAAACGTGCTCCACTTCACCGAATGTGCCTGTGGAAATATTTGTAGTAATAATAATTATCATAATAACACCAACATCAAACATGCACATTAACAAAAACATAGGAAAAATTAAAAAAAAAACAACAATAAATAAAACAAAATCAAGGAGTCATGAACCAACCTAGAAGGCGTGTTGTAGTGTTCCCAGAGGAGATCTGAGCAGCCATCTGCCTGCCAATCTGTGGCAACTTGGTGGACACAACTCTGTGGGGTCCGATCGTACCTATCGTGTAGACATTGGACTCACCTGCAATTCAAATTTAATAACTTCTCAAGACAACAAATTGATCCTAAAATATATTTCAGTTGTTGTGCTAGTTGAATTATTCATCATTTTATGAAAGAATTTACTAACATGAACAATATACCCATACATTTTCTCAAAATAAATTGCTTGAATACAACAAGTTAATGAACGAAAATTTGTTTTAATACAAAACAAGCATAACCCCAAACTTCTAAACCCAACATACCTTCCGTCTTATATCTGACAAACGTTGTCTTGTCCTCCATCATTGCATCAACTGCAAGCTTCTCGTAATACTTGGAGGTGATGATGGCAACGGTTGGCTTGCTACCTTGAGTCACAACAGGCATGTTCTTCACTATCTTAACCTCTGTTGGATGGTCAGTGGTCATAATTATATCCACACCACCATTATCTCTATCTACATCATCCACACCATCGTCGTCTACATCGTCATCACCATCTTCATTCACCTACAACTAACCGGTAGTCTCATCCAGTACCTTCCTCACCCACTTTCCAGGTTCCAACTCCTTGATGAGGTTCTTGCTGGTCAGGATTCTCAGCTGATCCTGTATCGTCCGAGAGTCTGTATTCAACAGCCTGTTACGAGACAATGATAATGATGTTACGTGACGATGATAATGATGTTGATTACTTCTCTATAGTGATGATGGCAGCGTAATAATCACTTCATAGTGATAATGTGATGAGGCAGATAATGATGATAATGAAGTGTGTCATGGAAAGTGGTAGCATATTTTTAGCAAAGATATTTGTATCCGTGAGCTGAAATAAAAATTTGATCACCATTATTGTCATCATCATCATCTCTATTATCACCATAATCATCATTTTTATTATCATCATCATCACCATCTTAACTAACTGGGCCAAATCATCGGTGGGCAGAATATTGGGGTAGGCAGATTCCAGGGTCAATAACAACTGCTCCTGCACTATCACCTCCTTTGGCTTTTTAGCTTCCATTTCTGATTCTATCCATTCAGGTAGTATTAATAATTATTAATTAATTAATTAATTAATTAATTAGAGATAGTTATTCTATAAATCATTTTATTACACATTCATGTAATTAATCTCTACTGGAGTGTCAATTAAGATAATTTTATAAGAGTTAATGATTGATTGAGTAATAGAATGGCGCAACAATTTTTTCCTCCTGTAAAGCATGACAACAACAGATAGAACAACAGTAATTGTAATAATAATTATTATTATCATAATTACGAAAAGTAAAATAATTATAATAATTATCACAATAGTTACAATGCTAATTAGCATCACTGCAGTCCAAACAACAGGACCAACAACAACATCGTACTTTCATAACAGGCCATACAATACACCAAATACAATACATCTCAATACACCAAACATTTATTAATAAAGGATTAACTGAATAACATGCATACACCATCACACACACAAATGACTAAAATTTAATTAAATCAATAATATAAATGAAAAATGTTTCTTAAGTCTTCCAATCAAAATTAACTAATACAACCTTGAACTTGACCCTCACTCCTTATTACTGACCTTCATCTTGAGGATTGTTGGCTTCAGACTCGTCAAGTGGAGATATGTCAACATCGATTCTTTTCATCTTGTCATACTGTGGTACCTGAAGCTGCTTCATGACCTTCTTGATGAAGCCCACGTAATCTGGTGTGGTGATGTGGTGGTGTGGTGATGTGGTGATGTGGTGGTGTAGTGATGAAAGGACATGATGTGTTGTGGTAAGTAGTAGTCATTTGTAGTTTGAAAGGTTTAATTACATTGGTCTATTTAAAATAAATAAACCAATAGGAAAGTAAAAATAACACAATTTTTGCCATCTTAACTATCAAATGAATGTAGAAAGCAACATATCACCCAGCACCAGCACCCAGCCATAAACCTCACAATGCCTTGTATCAACAGTGCAATTAACATTGGAGATAAAAATGTTTAAGATATGATGCATAGGCAAAAAGATAATAGAATAACAATTAAATAATAATAATAATAATAATAATAATAATAATAATAATAATAATGATAATAATGATAATAATAATAATGATAATAATAATAATGATAATAATAATACGCATCAGTAGGTGCAGAACACATTCATGACATAAATTAGAAATGTACACTAACAAACCCCATATTATTAACACATGCCTACAGTCAAATAACATAGTTTACCCAACATATTAATAAACATTCAGTAAGACAATTCATGCATTACAGGTGCATTAAACATGCATCCAATATGTATGTATGATGCTCTTCATAGTCTAAACATACTATCTCATGTTACACAGATAATGCACATTGCACACAAATGCAAACTGACCTCTGGGGAATGTTTCTGGCTTGATGAGCTCTTTAAAGAATTCATATGCACCGCTGACCTTATCAAAGTAATCCGTATCTTCACCAAACCAAAACTTCAAAACACGACTTTCCTATATGAAAGAATTAAAAGTTGTCAAGAATATTGTAAATATAAAATAGATCTATACATATATATAAATGCATATATATATATACATCTAAATCAAATGAATAGATAATTATTGTTATATACACTCCTTAGTAGTTCTCAGGGGATAATTGGATAATTTATGTAACATAAACATTTAGTAAGACAGTTCACCACACATCATAATGGCTAAATCAGCATACTAAACAGAAATTATTTATACATGCATTTATTTATACATGCATTTACATAAAATAAATAAAATAAAAACAAAAATTACAGCCAAAACATATCCAAAAACATTATAACATTAAATGGAAACTTTATAAATGAAAGCTAACATCTTGGCTTCAAGCCAGTCAATAATTATTTCACAAACAAACTTTAAATGACTGTTATCTCAAACATAAATTGCTATCAGAGGTAACATAGAACAACGTTACAAAATGTTACAAAATTGTTTATAAAATATTCGAATTTGTTATTTTTTATAACAGTGTTATAAAAAATAACTCATCACTCTTTCAATCATTGTTGGTTATAATTACAATGACAAAACGAAAATCACTTTTTTTTATAGAGTATTAAAATAATGATTCTCCTTAAAATATACCATCAAAATTTCCAGGATGTCATTCTATTTAAACTACAATGTAACTCTGGTATTCATAAACAAAACTTAAAGTGTACAGAGTTTTATAAATTAATATAAAACTATAAATCGGTTAACAAAGGCTTAACATTACATCAATTAGTGAAAGTGATTAATCACAATGATGGGGATGAAGATTCAATGTGAAAAACTTACTGGAATAATTTTACCAGTTTTCCTATCAACAAGAAAGCATTTGAATTCAAGTTGTAGGTGAGGTGCCATAGAACTGTCTGGAAGATCTGAAATAAAACATTATCAGTGAGTTAGCTCATTTGATTCACATCATCCATGACAGATTCATTTATTTATTTATAACTTGTCAATCAGTCTTCGTTTAGCATCCAGAGACCCAGTTTCCTGAGGTAGGATGTATTTAGGAGGTAGGACGTATTTATAACTTGTATGTAACAAAAAAATGTTGTCATTGATTCCAACATAATAATTGAATATAAAGGTTGCCAAACTATAAACAAACAGTCATTTTATCTAGCATGATCTACTACTTAAGATGCAAGATAAAATGATCTATGTTAAAATAAATAATCTAACCAGCAGCCTGCTTGTTGATGACCAGGCCAGTGTGCTGACCTCCAGCTTTGTGAGCTATCTGCTCACTGTCCACCTGATACTTTTTCTTTTTCTCTATGCGTATGCTGGTCGTTTTTCCTTTTTTGCTTGGTGTCATGACAATTTCTGAATTTAATTTGTGAATTTATGTAAAAATCAAAATGACCGGAGATGTGATTCTTCAGCTTCACGCACGCTTCATTGTGATATTGGCTCATCAACAGATCATTCATTCATATTCAGGCTCAATCTTAACAAATACTATTGCAACTGCGGCAAAAAGTAAGTTAAATACTTTAAATTGAAAAGAAGATTATTAAAAATTAAAAAACAATTAAATTTGTAGCATAATAAAGTAAAGGTTGAAAGTAAATTAACATCCATCTTGACTACCTATGTTTTTTCAGAACTTATAATAGACATTTTCTAGTTTTTAGAACCAACTTTAATGTAGATTTGGTTATTAAATCTTTATATTAAATATTAATTTTATTCATTTTTGCTAATGAAACTTTCCCATTCTCTGGTGTAAAGTCAGAGTATTACAGGCCCAAGGACTATTAGTATTATTATAATTATATTTTATTTGCTGAATTAATACAGGTTCCAATATTAATTTAATAATTAAGTTCAAAAGAAATAAAAAAATAACACTATATTTTAAAAATCTGCTGAAATTGATTATTATTAACAACAAATTCCTCCAGCACGACTGGATTGACTAATGACGTCTGACAAATTCAACAGTTAACTTTTTACTAAGTAAGTACTTAGTAAGAAAAAGGAAAAAAACAAACCCTCGTCCATCATGGTTGTAGCCGATCAACTTTCTAATATAAAAATTATTAAAAAATGTCGACAAATTAAAAACAGAACAAAAAAGTGTAAAATTAAATTGGAAGACTGACGCCGATGAAACACGTTGAAAATTTCTATTTATTTAACTCTATTTTGAAGCGATCTCCACCCGGATATCATGGACGCTGAGAGAGTGAGAGAAGGGTGTGTTATGTTTCTCAACGAAAATAATTAATTACAACGTAGGTCGTATGAATCTTATATAGAATAAACTCTATATAAGTAGAGAGAATATTTATAACTAGGATATAATTATAATCTATGTATATGACTTATACTGTATGTATGACTTATACGAGCGTATATTATGGTAAATTCATTAAATGAGTTTGTATATACGCATGTATATTCAAAACCATATAATTAGAATATGAAAAATATGAAGCCTATGTATTTATTTATCAAAGTGTCGGAGTCGATCGGTGTCAGAGATTTTGGCCGATCCGGAAAATGTTATTTATTTTTAAAAATATTCAATTTTTTCTAAAAAATTTTTATGATTGTGTTTTTTAGAGGATAAATACATGTAGCGATAAGCAATCATTAATACTGAAAATTATATCACAATTTTCTTTCAGTAAATATGTTGTAAAACATAAAAATAAAGTAATTTTCTTAAGAAAAACAGTTACATTGATTGATTTTAAGTGTTTTTACAGTATTTTTAGTTTAGTAGTGATAATAAGGTGAAATCACGATGCAAAAGTTTACAAATTTTTTGGAATTCGGAACCCGGAGTCGGAAATTTTTACCGATAGTCGGATTTTTTGAAGTCGGAGTCGAATATTTTTCATCCGACTCCGACACACTGGTATTTAAACATATTATATGTAATTATCTATAAATGCATGCATGTTCAATAGTGTGTTTAGTTAATGACCAAAGTTTAGTATCAACGAAAGTTTATATTAACAATAACTAGTGGAAATGAAATGACATGAATCTTTACCAAATTGAATTCAATTGAGTTATTTGGATGTCCAAGTAGCTTCATTACTGTGCGATTTGTGAGATAACGTTTGTTTTATTTAATAGGCCGCTGGTTGTTGTTCACGTCATCGTCTCGAAGACAGAAACTGCGATAAATTTCTACGTTGACACATTTAGGTTAATAGCTAATCTAAATTATCATCTTCGATAGAAGCCTTTCGGTTTGATGCGTTCATGCGAGATTATTAAATGTATAGTATACATTGCATACCTACTATACTACAAAGAATGCATGCTGGTGTGTTTCTGTGTGCTTTCTTATCATTTATCTCTGCGTTGACTTTGTAGAACTACCCTGAATTGACTAAAACCAACGCAATTCCTCTTCATCAGAAGAGTTGCCAAGAGGGGCTGTGGCGTTGAAGCCTCTGCTCCCACAATTGAAATTTAAACTAAACTACGACAAAAAATTGACTGAAGGCAATATTAAAGTCACTTTAAAGTCACTTTCAAGGACACGACGAATACGGCACGGTGATAGCATCAATAGCTCTTTGGCTAATCTTTGGCTAAGTTATCAATTGGGCATCAAACAGCAGAAAATTGTGATTTAATGGTATTAAAATTTAGTAAATATTTGCTGATTGAATTAAATGATTTGTTTAACATGTGTAATAAAAATGTCAGTTGCCGAATTGACTTTTATGTCGGTGTCTCTTTTCAACAAAATGAACCCACATCAATAAAAAATTCAATTGAAATTAAAAACATTTAATTTAAAATTCAATTTAAAACATTTAATGTTACATTTAACGAAAAATTAATTCAAAAATAATCTTACCAAAGTATTAACCTATTCATTATTTAATAGCATACTTGTCGACTATTTTGACGCGTTGCCAATAAGAAAAGATAAAATTTACTTAAAAAAAGTTTTAGCAGAGCGTGGTTTCGATCCACGGACCTCTGGGTTATGGGCCCAGCACGCTTCCACTGCGCCACTCTGCTTAACACTATAAAACGTTTATATAATATTATATGTCATATTGCAATTTACAAAACAAAAATCTTTCATTTTAAAATTAACTTTAAACATAAAATTAATTCTTACAAGTTAATAATTATTTAAAATTATTTTTAAAAGCATTTATAAATTTGGAAATAGATTATGTGAGTGTATTATATATTTGTTTTTAGTGATTATTTTCTATGCAATGTTTACTCCTGTTGTCGTTCATTTGCTCGTGCTTCGCCTGCCGCGGTATCTCGGCTGGATTAATTATTATTTATTATAGTTTATTAGTAATTTATTTATTTATAATTTAGTTACGATGAATGCCGTCACCTGCCTAACTTGGATCCGGAAGAAAGTGCTCACTAATGTACCTGAAAAAGCTAAAAAACTCAAAAAAGCCAATGAAGATGGTGAAGAAGATGAAAATAAACTTGAAAATTTTATTCGCTTGAAAAAGCTGACAAAACATGCAAGCACGAAAGTAAAAAGTAAAAGTCAGCATATATATTTTATTTTATTATAATTAATTAATTGATTTAAAATAAATGGAGATAATTAAATTTTAAATTCAAATTGAATCATGATTGAAGTCCTTGAAAATTTAATTTTTTAATATTATTTTTTATAACATTAATTATTATTAATAATATTATTAATAAAATTAAAATATAGTTTTCAATTATTAAATTAGTTAAAAACTTAGGCGCTATTAATAATTAAGGTTTTATTAATTTAGTTTAGTTAGTTTTTTCAATATTTACTGTTACTCATATTATTTATTTTATATTTCATTTATTTATTTGATTTTTAATTTGTGATATTTTTAATATTTATGGCATATATAATATAATTTAATAATGTGATATAATTTATAATAATATTCATGGCATATATAATATTGTAAGTAAATGAAATCTAGTCAAATAGCACCAATCCAAGGTAATGAATTAGTACTATATATAGTATACATTTCATAATATATATGCTGACTGTATATATTATTATATATATAGCATTATATATATTATTTTTATGAATAAACTTAAACTACATTAATTATTACTGCTAAATGACTAAAATAATAATCATAGCTAAAAATATGTTATTTATCCATAAATAAACAATCAGAGAAGAAGAACAAAGTTGAAGACGATGGGGAAAGTAGCATGAGGAATAAGGAGGATGAACAGATACGAAAGCGATACAACCTCAGTGATAGTGAAGATGATGACATGGCAGATGACTCAGATGATTCTTATGGCATGTCAAGTTTGGCTTTTTTTAAGGACAATAAGCAGGATCCATATTTGAGTAAAGGAACAAAGGTAAGTGAACTTGCTAGAAGGAATGTCTTTTTGATATCAGAAAGTGGACAAGTCCATTTAAGCTTAATTGTTTTTTGTAGTTATATTTATTTGCTCAAATTAGTGATTAGTATTTATAAGTACTTATCGGTTTTTTTGCAAAGTTACGAACTTACTTATATAAATATATTTCTATTGTAAGGGCAATGTATTAACAAGAAAATATTTAGATTAAAAAGATATTGTATATTGTGTGATTATTATTATATATTTAAACTTGCTAGTCTGATAAGGATGACACAGATGATGAAATGTTGAACATATCGCCTGATGACAATGTCGTATTAGCGGGGAAGACAGATGATGGTTTTTTCTCTTTGGAAATGTGGGTCTACAATGAACAAGTAGGAAACGACAGTCTGTACTGTCACCACGACTACATACTTCCCTCATGTCCACTCGTAGTTCAGTGGCTGGGTGGGGACATCATTGGCGGTCGAAACGCCGGGGTAGTTGGTGATCTCGATGGGAATGTGTCACTCTGGGATTTGGAGATGGTTAACTATCTTGATCCAATGTTGGTGTTACGAGGTTGTAAGGAGCGCACTTCCAAAAAGAAGAAGAAATTAAAAAGTAACTTCATTAAAGACAAATTTTAAACAAATTTTTCATCAATTTTTATTGGAAAAAAAATCTACTGGCTTGCTGCATTAGTCTTTGTTATATTGATAATTATTGATTATACTCACGTTAAGGATGGTAATAATAATAACGACCTTGAATCTTCAGCGACAGCTGCAAGCGAAGAAAAGTGTGGCCACAGTGATGCAGTGTTGAGTTTGAGTTGGAACGAGCAACAGTCGAACCTTCTAGCAAGTTCATCAGCAGATGCCTCCATTGCTTTGTGGGATCTGGGGGGTCCAGGCAGACAGAATTGTGTCTTCCTAGGCAAACACCAAGATAAGGTTTCTGCTATTCAATGGATTCATGTTCGCCTCTTTATATATCCACACATGCTTCACTGTATTAAGTTGCTTTGACATGTTTATTTGCGGTGAATTAAATGAAAAAAACTAATAAATTTAAAATTAATATAATTATAAGAGCTACTGAATATGAACGTTCTTGTTGGTGGCGGTATAAATACATACCTGTAAATCTGTTTGTGTGCTGTTTCGTTGGCAGGTTCAGTCCATTCAGTGGCATCCTGTTGAGGCCCAGATGTTGCTTGCTGGCAGTGCTGACTCAACTGTTCAGGTTCATCTGCATTCCACTTTATCAATTTACATTCAATTATTTAATTCATTAAAGATGTTTGTTTGTTTGAGGTTTAAATACAAATTGATTGAAACTTTTCAAATTTTTATGATTTATCATTTTTTATTACAATGCAGGTGTTTGACTGCAGATGCTACGATGATTCAGTCAAAAGGTGGAGCTTGTCTGGGGAGGTCGGTTATTTTGTTTAATTTCAATTTCATTTTTTATTCATTTATCTTTTTTTTGTTTTGATCATTTGTCCACCTCTGCATTTTTATCCAAGTATTGGCCTACATTTCTTGTTCCAATTTTTTCAATAAGATTTTGATAACAATCTTTTAAATAGTTTTCTTTTTCAGTAGAAGTTATTTTAAAATTTTACTCCAGGTAGAAAAAGTTTTGTGGAATATTTCCTCTCCGTTTAATTTTTTTGCTGGTACATCTAATGGCTTCATCCATTATTTGGACATAAGAATGGATGTTCCTGTGTTTGAACTGGACGCACATGGTCCTTCATCTGTTACTGACCTCTCCATGCTCTTCGTCAACAGCCAGCCATTCAACGACTGTCTGCTTAGCAGCTCCGAAGACGGCTTCGTCAAGGTCTGGAGTCTGAGTAATGATGCTAAACTCGTCAACAAGAAGAATTATAAAATCGGTACTGCATTTTGCCTGGCAGCGTGTTGTGATTTTGAGAAGCCTATTTTTGCTGTCGGTGGTGACAACGAGATGAAGGTTGTTGACCTATCTGGAGATGAGAAGTCGTGTGAGGCCTTCAACTGGAGTTTAAGTGAGAAATTGCTCAAGAAGAAATCTAAAGAAAGTTCGGAAGCAACGTGTGAAACTGCCTCCAAGGTGCCAAAGAAGAAATTAAAAGACAAAAAATATAAAAAGTTGAAGGAAAAAAATGATTTGTCAAATTTAAATAAAAATGAAGATGTCTTAGATGATGATGACGAGGATGACGGAAAAGTTGCTGAAGAACAAAACTTGATGATGAAAGAAGTGAAGTGCAAAATGAAAAAGAAGAAAAATGTAGCTGGTTTCTGACAGTTTTTTTTTTCAAAATTAACTTTAAGTTTGTAAATAGTGTAAAAATATAATAAAGCTTATTAAAAAGCTGTTGTAGTCGGGATGAATACGATTATTTAGTCTAGGCACATTTTTAAGTTTTGTGTTTTTTTTTAAACCTTCAATTTATTTAATTTTATTTTTTTAATAATTATATCATGGTGCTAAATTGCTGTTAGTTCCTTTAATTCAAACTTTCTTTCAGCACGTTTAAAATCAAACTATTAACGTATCCCTCCCGTCACACGTTCCACTGGAAGCAGGAGGAGCAATGACGTAACGCATATATTATAATTGATGTACGTGGTCAGGCCGGCTGGTGATCGTTCGAGGCGTAAAAACACATTGTGATGACGTTATTGCTTCCGGGTCGACGTTCAGACCAAACGTTTTATTTCAATTCTTATGTTTATTTCTTAATTCGATGGTTAATTGTGCCAACATTCTATTATGCTGAATTAGAGGGTTGTTCAAACGGTGTATTTGATGTTCGCGCAATCACTTGTGCACGCTTTACACTTTCATTCTTAATATTATAGTTGGAATTGTAGTCATCATCGACGTCGTCCTCATCATAATGACGTCATCATCACTAAAATATTCCTTTGGTGTCTAAGTCGTAAATTTAATCCCATCTTTGGTTTATTTCAACCTCATTTCCAGTCATTCACTCGTTAATTTCTTTGCATTGTGAATAAATCGTCGTGACAATTTTCGTTTGCATTAGTTTATTAATAGGTTAGATAGAGTATATATATATATAAATTAAAAATTCAGGTTGATGGTAGCAGGTTATTCTGTGAAAATGCTTGGTTCCATACGGTTCCATATGTGTGGATCAAAAGAGTACCTGCCTGCTTCTTGGATTGGATCAACATGGCATTGCAATTCATCAAAAGTTCGCCCTTTAGTCATCTCCATTGAATTCTTCTAGGTTGCCTTTTAAATCCGATCATCCAAATGGTTTATAAGATTTAAAAAATAGCAAATTAATGAGATTAATAATAATCTGTTCTTTGAAATGACATTTTGTACGGTTGACAACCGTAAATTCTATAGCTCAGTTTTCGAGACAACTGTTAAAAATAAAAATTTAGAACATGACTGGTAAGGTCATAATCGTCACTGGGGCCTCCTCGGGGTTGGGATTTGAAATTAGCAAATATTTGGCGGAAGGTGGGAACGATGTGGTGCTTGCCTGCAGGGACAAAGAGAAAGCAGAAGATGCTGTCACTAAAATAAAAACACAATATCCGTCTGCTCTTGTCCAATCAATGGAGGTCTGTCTTCTGTTTTGTGTAGTGGTAGTCTTTTTCATTTTTTTTTAATTTACAAATTAAATTATTATAATTATTAATTGGTAGTTTTTGTTATGTTGATATATTTATTTTAAATTCGATTTCATTTTAATTATAATTTGTTTTAACTTCATTTGTTGTGAATGACAGTATTCACATTTTAATTAACAATATATAAATATAAAATATATTATATATAAAATAAAAATTACAATTTTATTTAGTTTTTATTATTTGTTATTACTCATAAAACAACATAAATACGGTTCCTGTAAAAGTGTAAATCATTTAAAATTTAATTAAAACAATATTGATATGTTCCACAGTAAGAATTTCACTTTTAAACACACAATTCCATTCAAAAGTTAGATCTCTGTTCCTCATCTTCCATAAGAAATTTCTCAAAAGAATTTATGAGAAGCAAACGAAAGCTCAACGTACTGATCAACAATGCCGGGGCATTCGTAAAGGGCAAAAATCATTCGCCTGAACTCACGTCTGAGGGATTAGAGTGCAACATGTCATCTAATTATTTTGGTTATTTTATTATTTTAATTTTGATTATTATTATTTCACCATTATTTAAGTGATTTGTTTTCATAATATACTATTTAATATAATTATACAATATAATATAATTTTATTATTTGTTATAAATTTAAGTTTAATGTTTAAGATTTTGTGAAAGCTTGATATAATTTTTTTTCTATTTCATGCATTCTTAAGTTTGTTCATTGCCTAAATTTTCTGATTTCATTTTTTAATCTTACTCTTTTTCATTTGTCATCCCATTTAGTTAAGTGAGATCTTTTAAAATGTTAATGAATGTAAATATGTCACCCAAAATGTTAGTGAATGTAAGTAGGTCACCCTAAATGTTAATATATTTAACCAGGTCACTTCCTGTTGACCCATTTATTGCTGGACTACCTTTCACAAACGGCCACCATTGATGAAGAAAGCCGCATCATAAACATCACGTGCAGATCTCACAACAAGATAGGCAGATGGTACCAAAAAGGTTCTTTTTTATTTCAATTTATTTCGTTTTATTTTAGTTCTGTTGCATGTGTTTGATATTTTTTCTAGTTTCAAACTTTCATCTCAATATATTTGACGATATAACATTCCACCTCAGATTTAGAGTCTTTGGACCCGAACAACATGCAACTACTGAAGATGGATACATACACAGACAAGCAGGCATACAAAAACTCCAAACTATGCAGCGTGCTCTTCACGTACAAGCTTGCTGACGAGGTGAAGGCTGAGAATGTCACTGTGCTGGCCGTCGATCCAGGTTCCACTGATCGTTTGATTGGTTGATTGATTGGTTGGTTGGTTGGTTGATTGATTGGTTGGTTGATTGGTTGGTAGGTTAGTTCATTGGTTGATTGATTGATTGGTTGGTTGGTTGGTTGATTGGTTGGTTGGTTGGTTAGGGTTTATGGATTATGTGATTGATTAAAGAATATATTGATTTGCATGATTGCTTATAGGTCACATCCATCTAGTTATCTGTTTATCTAATCATCAGTAAATCAATCAATCAATTCACCCATCCTCAGCCACCCATCCATTCATTCATCCGTCTATCTATCCATCATCCCATTCATCCATCCATCTATTTGTCTACCTGTTTATCCATCCATCCATTCATTTATTCATTTATCTACCCATTCATCCGTTCATCCATCAATCAATCAATGAAAGGTTATCTCCCAGTAACAGATCTCCACCATCATCCCTCTCCCTTCCATCGCGTTCTCTCTCTAGTCTGTCTCAACCAGTGTCTGGTTTGCTCACGCGTTGCTCGCTCCATAAGGTTGCTGGCCAGCACATCCGTTCATTGATTCCTTTCATTTTTTGATTCGGTTTGATTTGATTTGAATGGTTGATTAAGCTGCCTGGTTGACTAATTGATTGGTTGGTTGGTTGGTTGATTGATTGATTGATTGACTGACTGACTGATTGATTGACTGATTGATTGACTGATTGATTGACTGATTGATTGACTGACCGACCGACCGATTGGCTGACTGACTGACTGATTGGTTGGTTGGCAACCACTCACAGGAGTTCAGCCATGTTCATTGTTGATCTTGCTACCACAGAGAGATATGATGGTTTGTTTGTTTGCTGCTTGTCTGTTTGCTCGCAATAACAAATTAATAATAATAATAATATTAATAATAATATCTATTCGTCAATTAATCTATCATATCATTAATCAATCAATCAATCGATCAATCAATCAATTGATCGATCAATCAAATTACGCATTCTCCTCACTATAACATTGAACTTATTATTTCATTATTTTTGTTTTTGTTATTACCTAACAATTTTTATTATTTTTTCCATAGCATTTTTACTATTTAATCTTGCTATTATTACTAGTCTCATCATTATCATTATTATTGTCCGTTAATTCCTCTTAAAAATCGAGACACAATTGTACGTTCGTAGCCTGGTAATGTGTGCCCTGTAAACTTTACAATTTCTCTTACTTGTTGAAGGGGTCACAGGGAAGTATTACAAGAACGGCCGTCCGTCAAGGTCATCCCTGGAATCGTACGACCTTGAACTTCAGAGGTCGCTGTGGAAAAACTCTTGCAAGGTCACAGGCATCAGAGGAAGTATGGCGGCCGGAGCCGCCTTCGATAACCTCAGCCTGAAGGATTGATTTGATTGGTCGTTAAAATCCTGAAGGATTGATTTGATTGGTCGTTTAAAATCAAGGGCCAGGTGTTTTGGTTGTTTTAATTTGAGGAAATGGTCTGATGGATTGAAGGATGGATGTTGGGTTTTGTCCTTATGCAATGTTGGTTGTAGGGATGGGGGAAATGATCACGTGTTGTTTGGGTAAAATTTCTCAATTTTTACATTTTGACCACATCATGACTTTGTTAAAAATCAACTTTCTCGTTATATAATTAGCAGGCAATGCGTCATTCAACTGTACCAGCGTCAACCACTTCCAGGTGAAAGATTTTGTTGCTTTGTAAGTTCTCCTGCAGGTCTGCCTCGTTAATGTATTTATTATCTTTTATTTTCCCATTCTTGAGATTTTATGTTATTTTTGTCATTTTCGAGCGACAAACACTCTGTTGTGCTATTTCACCGTTCATGTGTGGCTTACAGCAGCATCGTTAAGACTTAAACTGTTAGCCAGGTGTTTGAGGCCTGTGAAATAAATTAGCTTATGAATTAATTAATAAAATGTTGCTTATCTGATTAAGCTGAGTATTTTATATTTTTTTGATTTATTGTGTCGCAGCATACACGCGCGCATGTGTTGTTTCATTAAACCTGCATACTTTAATACACGTCATGCATATTCATCTATCTATCTATCTATCTATCTATCTATCTATCTATCTATCTATCTATCTATCTATCTATCTATCTATCTATCTATCTATCTATCTATCTATCTATCTATCTATCTATCTATCTATCTATCTATCTATCTATCTATCTATCTATCTATCTATCTATCTATCTATCTATCTATCTATCTATCTATCTATCTATCTATCTATCTATCTATCTATCTATCTATCTATCTATCTATCTATCTATCTATCTATCTATCTATCTTTTTTTTTTTTTGGATGGGGAAAATACTTTATGTATTCCAGGATATATTCCGTGGATATGTCGGACTCGAGTAAACCCATACCGACTAAAAACCTCCTCGTCATCTGGCCCCAGTTTTCCTCGCTGGCCCGCCGTTAGGCATTACTACGCGAGGGGAGGATCATAGCAGTTCGCTAGTTCGTCTGTTTTAAAGAAAACTGCGACATTCGAATAGCCTTCTATCTTTAATTAATATTTTTTCTTTGCCTTTCTATGATGCCCAGCTTATTGAGGATATCAAACGCAAACGTATCAGTGGCATCCCACGCAGTTTTTGAAGAAAGCATAGCTTTAATTATACTCTCTGGTTGGATTCTCTGTTGGAGAACAGTTTCCAAAGTTTCTCTAGACCTGTGGAAGCGAGGGCACTTAAAGAATGCGTGTTCCGCATCTTCATTTTCTCCTGGACAGGATGGGCATTCTGGAGAACCATCATGACCAAAGCGATGAAGGTGCGCCCGGAAACACCCATGTCCCGAAAGCATCTGCGTCAGGTAGTAGTTAACTTCACCATGGTTCGGCTTCAGCTAGACATCTATTTGAGGTATAAGACGGTTTGTCCACCTGCCAGTTGTTGCCGAGTCCCATTGCATTTACCATCAATGCATGCTATATTGTCGCTCCTCTTTTCTGAGTTCATTTTTGTTCAGGTTAGTTGTTTTACTCCGTTGATACAATATCTTTTTTTTCTGGCCAGTTCCATGAAGGGTAACACACCAGCTGTAACACAAATTGCTTCTCCAGAAACCGTGCGGAAAGCGCTGGCAATTTTCAAAGCACTTCCTCGATAAACCGACGAGAGTTTTCTTTGCATGTCATGGGTTTTTAGTGCATCGCCCAGACTGGAATCCCATAAGTTAATACTGACGTGACAACAGAAGACAGTAACACCCTCCTGCTCTGTTTTGGACCTCCCACATTAGGCATTAATCGTGACAGGGCTATCCTCACTTTAGTTGCTTTAGTGCAGACATGTTCCACTTGTTGTTTAAAATTAAGTCGACTATCAATCATCACCCCCAAATATCGTATGTAGGGCTGTGTCGTTATTTCCTGTTCTCCGAGTGACAGCGTAATGGTTTCTAATTTCCTTTTCCTTGTAATAAGCACTGCCTCCGTCTTGTGTCTTGCCAGCTCCCGGTGGACTGAATTCATCCATTCACTAATTTTTGGAAAGGAGTTGTTAAAAATATACTTAATTTCCTCAAGATGTTCCGCTACGATAACTACGGCCACATCATCCGCATATGCCACCAAACTGGCATCCGATGGCAGTTTCAACCTCAGCAGGCCATTATACATAACATTCCATAGGATGGGTCCTAGTACCGAGCCCTGAGGTACACCCCCCGCAACGTTGTATTGTTGTGGTCCTGCTTTTGTGTCGTACATCAGTATTCTTTCTGTGAAATAGCTTGCTACCATTCGTTGTAGGAATAATGGAACATCCAACTCATCAAGAGCATGCAAAATGCAATCCCAATTAGCGGAGTTAAAGGCATTTTTAATGTCCAACGTGGCCACTAGACAGTATTTTGTCTTTCCTCCCTTCCTCGCAATGGCATCCCTAGCTTTTTGTACTACAATACCAACAGCATCTAGCGTTGAACGGCCTTTCCGGAAACCGAACTGGTTGTCAGTCAACTGGAGATCCATCTTCTGTTCAGTCATTTGGTGGATAATTTTTTCCAATATTTTCCCGGCTGTGTCCAGCATACATAATGGGCGGTAAGATGATGGGTCTTCCGGCGGCTTCTTCCCTTTAGGAATGAGAACCAGCCTCTGTTGCTTCCATCTTCCTGAAAAACTCCCTCTCTAAAACATGCATTATAGACATCCAAGAATAGTTCCGGTGCCTCCTTTATGGCTGTCTTCAAGGCATTGTTAGGTATTCCATCTAAGCCCGGGGCTTTGTTATTTTTAATTCTGTCACAGGCTTCCCTCAATTGAGTTTTCGTGACTGGTGGGACATCGATAGTCTCATATTGTTTTGTACAATTAGTGTTCCTATTTTGTTTAGGAAACAGACAAACAACAATCTTTTTCAATAGTTGTGTCATGTGGGCGAAGGCATTGATTGTCCTTTCAAATGTAGCAAGACCGATTTATATGGCCGGCCCCATGGATCCTTTTCCACCTCGTTGATAAGCTCCAGCCAGCATTTTCTTTTACTGACTTTAATAGCCTTGTTGAGTTCTAGGCGAGTCTTCTTATACACTGCTTTCAGTTCCAAGTAATTTGCTTTCTTCCAGGCATGTTGTGATGCTCTTCTCGCTTTAAGACATTCTTTTCGAAGAGCATCTATATTTGCATTCCACCAGTGAACTGATGATCCCTTGTCCACATAATGTTTACGGGGCATACTCGCATCACAAGCTTTTACTAATCTTCTTGTTAATTCCTCTGCATTCTTTTCAGTGCTTTGAACGGCCAATGGTTCACGGTTTAGGGCCACCATGAAAGCATTTGAGTCAAAGGACTTTGCTTTCCATCCGACAGCATTGGTCCGTGTCAGCATACACCCAGAGCTAAAGTCAGTGGTCACTTCCCAGAGTAGCGCATTGTGGTCGCTTGCCGTTTAGAAGTACATAACTTTCCATGAAAGGTTTCCTTTTACCAGGCAGCAGCTTACAAATGTGAGGTCCACTATTGAGTTCGCTTCTCGTCTTACAAATGTAGGTTTATCTCCGTTATTCAACAGGGCTACATCTAATATTGCCATAGCTTCTAGTAGCGCGTTCCCTCTTGCATTGGTTTTTTTTACTGCCCCAGTCTACAGCCCAGGCATTAAAATCTCCAGCTATGGCCACAGGAAAGTACTGCTTCGCACTCTGGGTCAGTCGATCAAGGAAGTTTACATATTCATCAAAGGAAAGGCTGGGCGGAGCATAAAAACTATAAAAATATATATCCTCTACTTTTGTTGCTACAAAACATGCCTCTGTATTTATAACATTTTGGAAAGGCAGCTTGCTACAGGACCAGATGGCTGCTCCTGCAGTTCTATCCATTTCCCACGGCTGTGTATTCAAATGTTTATAAGGTTCTGATACTATTGCCAAATTTACTTTCAGTTCACGCACAGTCTGCATAAGCAGATCATGTGCCGCCTCGCAGTGATTGAGATTTACCTGTAGAATCTTCATACTTGGGTTTTTTTCCTTTAATACTCAGCACCGCGTTTTTATAAACTTGACATCTTGCAGTACCAGCTGCATGAGCACAATTATCCACGTGGTTTGTTTCAATGCATAAAACACAACGGGCCTCGTTCTTGCACTCTGCAATTTTGTGACCATCTTTTCCGCATCTAATGCAAAGTTTTGATCTGTCTATGGGACTCTTGCATTGTATTGCAAGGTGACCATAATGCCAGCATTTAAAACATTTATTTGGCTTCTTTGCTGACACAATTCTGCAGTTGACCAATCCAATTTTAATTTTGCCATGTTCACCCATTATCGTTTTTGCAATAGGAGCCGCCAGGGTTATCGATGCAACCTGTGTGCCTCGATACGCTTTACGAAGCAATTTTATGTCATCGATTGTTATTTTAGAGTCATCTCCGGCCGCTTTTTGTAAGGCTGTTAGAATGTCCTCTTTCGTTGTGACATCATCTAAATCTCTTATTTCAAGGTCCTCTTGTGGTCCTTTACATATGACCGTTGCCTCGTCTTTAAGGATTTCCGAAATGGTTTTCTGTAATCCTTGGCCTCCGTCAGCGTTATTTTTGTTAATAATTATTAGCAGATCGCCAGTAGCTGTCCTGCGGATCTTTTCAACCGTGGAGCATACTTGTTCATCCGGAACTTCTTTCTTCACTCTGCAAAGAATGTCTGCATATTTCTCCTTGTCTTTGGGACGAAAAATTAGGACATTTGTTCTTAGTCTTCCCACGTTCCTTATCATTTTCTGAAGCGGACGGTTATTTTTCTGTTCCATACTTTGATTCTGCTTCCTTTTTTTTACCTTGACTCGTTGCCATCCAGTTTCTGTCTCAGTGTTTGAATGTTCTTCATCTTTGCTCATTGTTGGGGAAGGCAGAGTTGTTTGTACTTCCTCTCTCCTCTTCTTAGTTCCAGTCTTTGGCGGCGTTCGGTCTTTTCGCTTGACAGGCCGAGGCAGAATGTCTACAGCAAACTCGCTATCTGCATCGGCTCCGGTATCTATGGCCGATAATTCTTCTATATTCCGTGTCCTTATCTCTAGTGGCAGGAATTGTGTTTCTGGCAGCTGACTTAGAGGCTGCTTCGCCTCTTTACCTGTTTCCAATGCCTTTACTTTAAGAAAAGCATTGGCGATTTTTGTTATCTTTGTCTTGATCTCTTTGTGGACATTCGATTTTGGCTTAACGAATTCCAAAAGTCCATCAATGAGTTGCCCAAGTTGTTCCCAGGCGTTGATCCTCGCCTGATCAGTAGTAGCATTCAGTGATGCCTGGCAGTTGTTATCATCCTTTTCTCTATCTCCACTTTTTCTGTTTACGTTAGTTATCATGTTGGTCCCTCGAGAGCCACGGGAAATACAAGGTCAACCTCAGCAGAGCCCTGGTTGCTGAAGCAAGGCCACTAATATTTACTTGGGGTTGGACCTAGGCCCCAGGGCGAACCGTTCGCGACGCCATATCCCCCCGGCGCCATTCAGTCCTCGGCACGGTATCTAGCACCTTGACTTGGGGTGTTTGGTCCACTAGAAGCCATACCACTCCATTTTTAGTCCTCTGAGAAGTATCCTAACTTATCTACAGAGGCTTTCCTCTGACCATTCTAACTTTAGCCAGCAAAGGTGAAGATGGAGTCTCCGCGTGTCCGACATGCGTAGCGCTACCAGGTTAATCGTACTCAGCTTTGGCATCCAAGTAATCTGGACCTGTGATTAAACACAGCCTCAGCTTTTCCTTTGGCCCGCCGACATACCCTTTGTCTCCATCTCCCACAGTGCTGTTGCCCATCCCCCACAACGTGGACGCACTGGTACCTATCTAAAACTTAGGGCCTAGACCAGGGTCAGAGTGGATTTTAGGGGATCTATCTATCTATCTATCCATCCATCCATCCATCCATCTATCTATCTATCTATATCTATCTATCTATCTAGATTTTTATACATACATCGAATCATCTATCAGTCAATGTAGTTCTCTCCTTTCTGTTCATCTTTTACGCGTTACATATTTCAAAATATGTGTGCATAGTATATGTACGTACAACTTAAGTGATGTATGTGATGTATGTTCATACGGGTGTGTGTGTGTGTGTGTGTGTGTGTGTGTGTGTGTGTGTGTGTGTGTGTGTGTGTGTTTCGCGCCGTTCAGCTCTGGAAGACTTTTCATTTAGGCAGCGGAGTTAGCATTGCAATCATAGTATCTTTTCTATCATATCAACAACGTTTTAATGTTTTTCGCCGGCAGAATCATTTGTTTCGACTTTCGCTATTAGTATTATTATCATTATTATATTATTATTATATTATTATTTTTATTATTATTATTATTATTGATATCATAATTTGAATTTTTATTATCGATTGAATATTGTTGAGACTATTTATCATTAACGTTGCCTGTTGACATCTGACCATTTTTTTCACCTATTTAATTAAATTTAATTAACTAATTAGGTTAAATTAATTAATTAATTAAATTTAATTAATTCACGTCGTTTAATTTAGTCTATTTAGTTTTTAATCGATTTATGATAATTAATAAGAGTGCTTGAGTTTATTTAATTTTTTTTGAAATTTTAAGGAAAAAAATAGACGATTTTTATTACCGAATTTATTATAAAAAATTATTATTGTTATTGTTATCATTACCGATGTCTTTATTGTTATTGTTATTATTGTTATGTTGTTATTGTTATTATGTTGATCATGATTACGTGAGAGTCTTTGAAATAAAAATCATTCCTATTGTAGATAGATACATATGTGTGTTTATGTGTTGTTTGTAAATACATGTGTGTGTGTGTGTGTGTGTATGTGTGTGTGTGTGTGTATGTGTGTATGTGTGTGTGGTTTTGTTATTTGATTAGTTGTCGATTTACTTCACAGTATAATAAATAGAAATAATTTGTTACTAAATGTTAACAACGAAGTAATTACTATCTGTTATCATAAAATCAAAAGTAATGTGTGTGTGTGTGTGTGTGTGTGTGTGTGTGTGTGTGTGTGTGTGTGTGTGTGTGTGTGTGTGTGTGTGTGTGTCTGTCTGTCTGTCCGTGTTTGTTTACGTATGTGTAGAGAATAACCATTACCGATACGGGGAGTTATGCACGGTACAAATAATTTGTGAATAAATTAGTTGATATCTAGTAAATAATATAATTTGTATAAAATAATTTATTTTGTAAAAAAATAATTTGTCGATAATATAGTATGATTTGTGAAAAACATGAATAAAATTATCGATAATGATCAGTGAGTCTTGTGATAATTCGAAGATGCCAGCACGATCAAAATTTTTTTTTGGAGTAATTTTAAGTAAATAATATCAACGTGATGTAGAAATAAAGCGAAAACCATACGAAATTAATGTAAAGTTAATATAAGAATGTGAAAATCCCAAGTGAATTATTATTATTAGTAGTAGTATTATTATCTTAATGACGATGACTTTTAAAGAATGAATTGATTTGTATAGCATGAACTTGAAACTTATCTTGATAACTTCTAATTGTAAAGAGTTTTGAAGTAAAATTGTTAATTAATCAATGGTGGAAAATCTAAAAAAAGAGTACAAGTGAATGAGTCATTCATTTAATTATAAATAAAAAAAAATATTGATGGTATGTATTCATTGCGTTCCTTGCGTTTCTGTGACAATTTCAAAAATGACCTCAACAATTAGCATTCATGTGCGTGTGTGTGTGCAAAAAATACACGTTAACTGTTGTTTACATGCTTGTACGTGCGCAATACTACTACACATACAATCACTAATTATTCATTTAATTAGTTATTGATTGATTGGTTGGTTGATTGATTGGTTGGTTGATTGATTGGTTGGTTGGTTGATTGATTGATTGATTGATTGATTGATTGATTGATTGATTGATTGATTGATTGATTGATTGAAATAAAGACAAAGACGACGACGACGACAGTTTTAAAAAGTACAAACACGAGAATATGATTAAAAAATAATTTTAAAAGTTAATTTATCCATCATATAAGTCCAAAAAATGATGTGAACTTTCCAACAACAACAACAGCAGCAACAACAGTTAAATCAAAGATTCTCTTATTGATTCTCGATTTCTTAACGTAAACATGGATGTACCAGTGATATTTACACACACTCGAAGATATGGAGTATGTATGTATGAATGGGTCGGGATACAAGTGTACGAAAATCTGTATCATGTTTGTATACGTGTTTGTGCATGTGGATAGATACATATGGATTGTGTGTAGGAGTGTGTGTGAGTGTACGTGTGAATATAGGTGGTATGTGTGTATATATGTGTGTGAATGTGTACATGACAGTGTGTGCGTGTTGTATATGTGCGTGCGTGTGTGTGGTGTGTGAGTATATATATACGTGTATGTGAGATTATGTGTGGGCATGCTAAATTTATTACCGAGTTTCAATTTCTAATTTTGCCATCTTGGCACGCTTCGCACATGTGAGCTGCAGACGGTGATCGTGACAATTGTTAATGTTTTGTTGCTGTTACGTTGCTAATGTGTTAATGTTATGTTGTTAATTTAGTTGCTGTTGCCGTTGTTGTTGATGTTTTACTGTTAATTTAGTAGTTGTTGATGATGTTGCGTGGAATGTTGTTACTGTCGTGCTGCACTTCTCATGTTTCATCATTGTTGATATGTTTTGTCGTTGTACGATTTTGCCATGTTCATAATGAGTGACGAGGTTGAATGTTCAGTGCGGATTGCATATCATGGTGTCGACTCGTTTCATGAGATTAATGTTTAAATATTTCTAAAAAATAGTGTTCACGCTTTGAAATGTGCAACGTGCGTTTCAACTTCTTACTCTCCTAACAGCACGGCCACCACACCATCAACTACTCACCTTGAAATTCATTCAAGTTCATCCTCATATCCATTCTCACCTTCATTCCTCTGACACCTGCTTGAATCTTGCTGGCTGCCCTGTCCAGTTCATCATCAGTTTGACCTTTCACTTTTGACGGACCTTCAACTGACCGACTTCTTTTCATCATTTTCACGTCCTTGCGAGCTTTCATTCCGCGAATGCCTGCTTGGATTTTGGTGGCTGCGGTGTCTCGGTCGAAATTGTTGGTACTGTTGTGGAGTTCAGATATCGGTCTGGGACTCTGCTGCTGGTCGTGTCTGTGACTGACTGATTCAATTTTGACGGATCTTCTTGTCTGCATGCCTCGAATTCCAGCCTGAATTTTCGTAGCGGCTCGGTTCATTTGTTCATCATCCAATTTGTTGACTGGACGTCTCGTGGTTGAGTTGCCCGTGCTTCCGCCAGCGTTCTCTTCATTTTCCTGTCTCGAATGATTCCCGTCCAAAGAGTGATGTTGCTTTCTTTTGAAATCTTTCCTGGCTTTCATGCCTCTGAGACCGGCTTGAATTTTTGTGGCCGCCAAATCCTTGTCGTTGAATTTGTTAGAGCCGTGGGAATGTTTCTTGACGCGTTTTTCGTTTTCTCTGTCTTTGTGATCGTCATGGTCTGTTTTGTTGTGTTTCATCTGCTGTCTCACCATCATCCCCTTCACTCCTGCTTGAATTTTTGTCGCTGCTCTCTCGCGTTCTTCTTTCGTGTCATCATCGCCATCGTCGTCATTTGCATTGTGTGGATGTCGCTGTCGCTTGTTGGACGTCAGCGTCCTCCTCACCTTCATCCCTCTCACTCCCGCCTGAATCTTCGTGGCAGCCAGGTCCAAATCGTCCACAAATAACTTTGAGTAATCATCCCTGGCGCTCTTCAGGGCATCTTCCTGGTGGTCGATGGTCTTCGACGATCTCAGCTTCACCTCCTTCCTCACATTCATCCCCTTCACACCGGCTTGAATTTTAGTGGCGGAATCGTTCAACACTTTCATCCGGCTGTTCGATTCATCATCTTCGTCATCGTTGTCGGAGTTTCGTTTCGTTTTTGTTTTGTTGTCGTAAAAATGTTTCTCCTTCAAGTGCCTCCTCGTCTGCATGCCTCTGATCCCCGCTTGGATCTTTGTTGCGTTCATGTTTTTGCGTCTGTACTCGTCATCATCATTGTCAGCCTCATGATCGTCGTCACCATTGTTACTCTCAACGTCGCCATCTTTATCAGGCTGATTCTTTTTTTGAGCGTTGTTCATATTGTTCGTATTGTTCATGTTCTTCATGTTCTTCCTGGTGAACATGCCTCTGGCACCCGCTTGAATGCGAGTAGCCGCTTTGTTTTTGCGCATTTTCATTTCCTCATCTTCGTCATCATCTTCTCTGACGTCATGTTTATTTTTACGACGCTCATCATTATGAACGCTACGTTGACTTCTGTACGATTTGCCCCCCTCATCAACATCGTTGTCGTCGTCGTTGCGATCATCGTTGTGGGCGTTTGCGGACGATCTGGACTTTGATTGGTTGTTTGCTTTCCCGTCACGTGATTTGTGTTCCTCATTCGACTTCCGTTGTTGATTGAGTTGCTTCCTCGTGTTCATGCCTCTGATGCCCGCTTGAATTTTTGTGGCTGCTGCTGACGTTCGCTCGTTGCCTGCAAATCAATGAGTGGTTGGTTGGTTGATTGGTTTTTTGATTGGTTAGTTGATTGGTTGGTTGACTGGTTATTTAATTGGTTGGTTGATTGGTTATTTAATTGGTTGGTTGATTGGTTGATTGATTTGTGCGTTAGTAGTTTTATTGCAGGGTCAATTGATTTATTTGTTATTAGTCAATAAATTTGTTTAAATTTTGTTTTGTTGATCGAACGATTTGTTGATTTTTTTTATTTAATAATTAAATCTTATCGGCTAATCAACGAATAACAATGGGGAACGTTGAACATCTTTTTAATGCATTAGAACAGGAATAGTTAATGTTGCGCGTTCAGTGTTGTAACCATTGTTGTTGTTGCACTTGTCGTTGTTGTTATTGTTGTTGCTGTTGTTGCTATTGGTGTTGCTGCTGCTGCTGTTGTTGCTGTTGTTTTTGTTGTTACTGTACTGCATTGTCGCTAATGTCATAACTAATGTTGTTGTCATAATTTATATTACGAATATATATTTTTGTGTACTAACTACTACTACCACTACTACTACTACTACTACTACTACTACTACTACTACTACTACTACTACTACTATTACTACTACTATTACTACTACTACTACTACTACTACTATTACTACTACTACTACTACTGTTACTACTACTACTACTACTATTGCTACTACTACTGCTAATACTACTACTGCTACTACTACTACTGCTACTACTATTACTGCTGCTGCTGCTACCACGGCTACTACTACAACTACTGCTACTACTACTTCCACTACTACTACTACAACTAGTAGTAGTGGTAGTAACAGTAATAGTAGTAGCAGTAGTAGTAGTAGTAGTAGCAGCAGTAGTATTTTTGTTTTTTATAGTTGTTTTTTGTTTAATTAAATGCCTAATAAAGTGCGTGGGAATTGATTGCACGGAGAAAACAATATTGCTCATACCGTCAGTTTTTTTGTGGTTTGTTTTGTATCTTTCGTTTTGTTTATGTTTTTTGTTTACGTTTTACATGTTTGAGAAAATGTTTGCCCTTTGTTTTTTTTACATGTTTGTTTGTTTTTGAGAAAATGTATGTACGTGTGTGTGTACGTATTTGTGTAAATGTTTATCTGTATGTATGAGTTTGTATGTATGGGTTTGTAAGTATGAGTTTGTATGCTTGTATGTACCGCATTTTATGTATATCGATGTTTATAACTATATTTTTGTGTAATAGAGTTATTTTCCTATGCATTATAGAAGTTTATAGATGCTTAATGTCTATACAAACAAAAGTTGATGGCAAATGGCATGCTTGTGTCGCATGTTTATTGAGGTATTTGTGTTTAGATTTAAACATGGTTGCTTGATATGTTGGTTGATTGATTGGTTGACTGGTTGGTTGATTGGTTGGTTGGCTGGTTGGATAGTTGATTGGTTTGATAGTTGATTGGCTAGTTGATAATGTGGTAGGGTTGGTTGGTTAAATGGTTGTTTGATTGATTGGATGGTTGATTGGTTGATATTTTGGTGGGTTGGTTGATTGTTTGGATGGTTGATTGGATAGTTAACTGGTTGTTAGACTGGTAGGTATGATGTATGGTAATGAAATTTGAACGTGATGTATCAGTGTATGTATGTTTATGAATTTTAAATTCTTCCGACGCAACGAACTTTCAGAATAAATAATTTTCAAAAAATCAAACAGGACCGTCTGGCTTTACCTTCCCGAAACTCTAGTGCCACCGTTCACGTTTCTCCATTTATTTTAATTTTTCACACTTCAAATTTTTCAAAATTTCAAAATAAAATTTTTGCCGAAAATTGCGGAAAAATCATCTATAAATAATTTGTTAGTTGTATGACGAGTCGAAGCCAAGTTATCTTTTTATTTTCTGGGTGTGATCAGAGGAATGTTTCACCATGAAAAAAATTTCATTTTTTGAATTTTTTTCCAATCCAAATGACATGAATAATTAAAAAAATTCAACAGCGTTCTCTGACGTATAGGTTGGCTGCTTGTGTGTACGTGTGCGTACGTCTGATGTGTCAGTATTTGTACGCTTGTATAAAGCGATAAGTGGGTTCTTGCACGCTTGTATTATGTATTGTATCATGCTGATGTATGGATATTTGTATGCATGTATTCGTACAAGTTGTATTTGTTGATTTGTATATGTATATGTATTAGTATTTGTATATGTATGAATTGTAGAAATTCATAAGCATTGACTCTTCTGATATTATCCGAATGCTTAGAAATAATCCAAATGTGACTAAGTGCATATGTAGGAAATAGTCAATTTGAGCGGGTTTGCTCTGCTGGTTCCTTACTACAAAGTTGTGCACTGTTTTTGCATTATATTCAGTTATTGTTCAGTGTTGTTGTTGTTTTTGTTGTTGTTGTGTTGTTTTTGTTGTTGTTGTGTTGTTTTTGTTGTTGTGTTGTTGCTGTGCTATTGTTGTTGCTGTGTTGTTCCATGTAGTTGAAACGTGTTATTACTCAGTTGTTGTTATGTTTTGTTGTTGTGTTGTGATAGCTTGTTGTTGTTGCGTTGGGATAGCTTGTAGATGATGTACGCATTGGAAACCGCAGGCTGGAAATCGTACGTCAGGGTACATCAAAGTAACCGCATCGTAGTTGTGGTAGTAGTAGTTAGTACACACACACACACATACCAACGTACATAAATACATACATACATCTTACCTGTAATGTCCTTGCGATGCTCATCTTGTTTGAGTTTTGCCTGCAGATACAGTTGTATACACGTGAGTATGTATAAATAGATATGTATAATTGTATACATGCGTATGTATGTTTGTGCGCATGTAGGGAAGTATGTGTGTGTATGTATGTATGTATGTATGTATGTATGTATGTATGTATGTATGTATGTATGTATGTATGTATGTATGTATGTATGTATGTATGTATGTATGCATGTATGTATGTATGTATGTATGTATGAATGAATGTATGTATGTATGCAAGCATGCATGTATATAAGACCCTTCGTTGATTAACTAGCTATTGATTGGCTATAATCAATGTCAGGTTCTGCTATCTTCTATGTTATTGGGTCACGCACAGAAAGGCTATTTAAAGCCCCATCAAGTATACAAAAAGAATTACATTTTTGAAGCAGAACAGAGATATATTCTTTATTGCAGTTTTTATCTAAAATGTTTTCTGATATTAAGATAATTTTATTAGTAAGTTCTTTTAAAAACAGACGGGTATTGTTGTCGGTTGGTTCAAATGTTTCGATGCATGTTGGTTTAAAAATTTTAGTGTCATTGAGAGTAGCAAACTTAGACATTTTTTGGTCTTATGCTTTAAAAGCCGCGGTACCTGCCTCGACCGCTGTAAAAGAGATGTATTTTTCGACCACCGTCTAGAGGAACGTCACATCCCAGGCAAGCGAACGTCTCATAGCCCATGGAGAAATTGTGTGTCCATCAAGTCTAAAGTTCCCATCCGCGATCAGGCCTACCGCTTCCTTCATCACCGGTAGGGCAGCTTTCTGGAAGCAGCGAACCAGGAAATCATTCATCGCTGAATGTCTTGCCCGGCGTCCAGAGCTAAGACGGCATAATAGCCCAATGGTGGATCAAACTTTGCTCCGCAGTGACAAACATACTCGGTAACAACTGGCAAACCCAATCTCAACCCCAAACTCACTCGGATGACTGAATCATCTAGCCTTGTGCCACAAGAGGTGTTTGGCACCGTCCTCAACCACGCTGACCCAAGCTCGCTTTTAACTGCCAAAACTCTGGCTTTGTTCAGCGCCGAACTATTTTGGCCAAACCTCTTCAACCGAGATCTTGAGGTAGGGTTCATGCCAGCTATTTTGCAAACATGACTGCAAATCAACAGCGTCTTCATGCGTGGCACGTCAACTATCAAAAACTTGGACTCTCTGGTTGTTCAAGTAATTTTTATCCTTGGGCAGCATTGAGTTTTGTAGGGAAACCATGGCGGCGGCAGAAGCTAACAAATTAACATTTTAGGGCCTGGAGACGTTCTGAGAAGATGAATTAGACGAGGCAGGTAGGCAGCTTGCAGCATAAGGATCAGTGCGTCGTGTTTGGAAATCAATTATTAATACAAACGACGCAAAATGAATCCAAGCTTTGCAGGTTTATCCAGAAAAACTGTCTTCAATGCAAAAACACATGCATGTTTTTGCTCACTTGGATGCTTGTTTTGTATGTTTGTATTTACGTATGCATGTTTAGATATGTATAGGATTATGTGTTTATATTTATCTTACATTTGTATCAAAATCGTTGAAATATAAAAATTATCTGAACGTGCTTTATCTAATAGAGTGAAATGAAGCAGAAAATAAGATAAAAACGAGTGAATAAACGAATGATAGTATTAATTAAAGGGTGCGTAGACGAAGCCCAGCCAAAACATGAACGACATTAACAAGCTTAAATAAGCAATGAAATTTAGAATAAACATAATAACAATAAACATAAAAATAATAATAAATATAATAATAATAAACATAATAATAATAAACATAAAACAGGAGGATAAAAAGGCATGCAATCGAATGAACAACTATGGGAGCATCAGAGCAATACAAGCAAACTCAAATAAATGCATTCCAGATATTACGTAAACTAAAATCAATGGTAACTATCATGTATATTCTATATAAAATAATATATAAACGAGTAAACTATCACATATGATTCACAGTGCATATAAACATGCATATGTTGTTGGCTAGGGAGTTAGCTCAAACGGTAGAAGAGCTACACGTCTTGCATTGCTATAATCGCGCGGTGACCTGGTTCGACTGCAATCTCTGTGTGCTGCGTGTAGTGTAACGTCACATGGGCGGTTTTGTGACAGAAAATTTCAATTGTAACTAAGGGAGTAAGAAATGAAGGCAGCTTTGCGCTCATTGTCAGAGCAACATTATAAAAGATAAATGTATGTGTGTCTGTTGGTGTTGTGTGTGTGTGTGTGTGTAATGTATGTGGTTATGTGGTTATGTGTGTGTGTGTGTTTGTATGTGGTTATGTATGTGTGTGTGTGAGTGATGTATCTGTGCCTCTGTATGCATCATGTTGAAGCATTCGTATCAATAATTTTAGAACTATGCTATCACACTGATAACTGATCCATGCATGCACTTTCCTGCTAGTATATGAACATGCAATAAGTAAAAATAATCGAAAGGTAAGTAAACATCTCTGCGATCCCTGTTCCTTTCACTCTGCTGTTATTTTTCTTATTTATAACAATTAACTAAACAACTTGTTGAGTTTTTGAGCGAGTTTTTGAATTTTGTACCTCAGGTTGTTCAGAAGATATTTGCTGTTCCAGTATTTTTGGTTGTTCTGATATGTTTTGGTCCGGTATTTTTTGTTGTTCTGGTATTTTTTGTTGAATTGGATTAGGATTGACGTCAACATCTACTTTGACCAGTGAGTTCTTGCTTGCGGCCGCTTTCTTCTTCAGCATTCTCCCTTTGAAGCCAGCTTGTATGAGGTTTGCAGCTTTCTTCACTTCAGGATCTTCCAAATCAATGTCAACGACTTCCTCTTCCGGTTGTGGAGCTGCCATCTTCGCTTTGTTGTCAACATCACTTTTGTTGTTGTTGTTGTTGCTAATAAGTGGTGGCGTCGATGTTGTTGATGTGATATTATTCAATGTTGTTGAAGCCGTTGATGTTGTTGACATCATATTTGTTGTTGTCGCCGCTGTCGAAACGGACGCAGTTGACGCCGCAGTAATATTAATATTTGCGTTAGTAGTAGCAGCAGCAATGCTAGCGTTAGTAGCAGGATTATTAGAAATAATTGTAGTAGCTGTTGTGGCAGCTGTTGTGGCCGCGTTATTACTGGCGATGGAATGAACACTACCCTCCATGCTACAGTTTGAAGTAGTGGCTGTTGCAGTAACTACAGCTTTAATATGAGTGGTACTACTACCGGTAGTAATAACGTTAGTATTAGATGAAGCTAAGGACGAGAATGATGTAGCAGAAGCTAGATGGGAAGGAATGAACGTTGTTGTTGTTTCTGCTGCTGCTGCTGTTGTTATTACGCTTGTTGATGTTGTTGCTGTTGCTGAATTGTTCTGTTCAACAGCCGTTAATTTTGTTGCGTCAACATTTGTTGAAGCCTCTGAAGTTTTCAATGCAGCTTCACGAGCGCTCTCTGAAACGTTCATGACGTCATTTGTTATCGTTGAAGTTGTCATTTTGTTGTCGAGGACGTTGTTGTTGTTGCTGTTGATGATGTTGTTGTTGTTGATAATGTTGTTGTTGTTGATGCTGTTGATGTTGTCGTTGTTGTTGATGTTACCATCATTGTTCTCGTTAATAGAAATTTTATTTGGCGCTGATGACATCATTTTTTCGTTGTCGTCATCATTAATTAAATGTTGTTTACCCTCAACGTCATCATGCATCTTACTCTTATCATTGCCATAATCATTTTCATTATCATCGCCACCATCATTAAAATCCTTAATTGGATCTCTGCTGTTGTCATCCTTGCCCACTTGCTATTTTAGTGATGTGTTCGGTTGGTTTTTGTATTTGGTTATGCGATTGATTGAACGATTGAAAGGTTGATTGAGTGATTGAAAAGTTGATTGAATGATTGAAAGATTGATTGAAAGATTGACATATTGATAGAATAATTGAAAAATTGATTGAAAGATTGATTGGATGATTGAAAGATTGATTGAGTGATTAAAAGATTGAATGCATGATTGATAAATTGATGAAATGATTGAAAAATTGATTGGATGATTGAAGATTGATTGGAGGATTGAAAGATTGATTGAATGATTGACAAATTGATATAGATAATAAGAGATAATAATATAATAATCTTAATCATTTCAGATTCCACTAACAATCAAACTGAATTAAATTTTGCATGAAATCACCGGTCCCGATAACGAAATTTGTCAAACAAGTTTAGTAAGAAGCACAAAATAATGTCACAAAGTCCGTAGCTAATTTTTGGTTTTTAGGCTGCTCTGCTGCGAGGTTTCGCCATTGGCAAGTGGAGTTTTGTATGCAGAATCAGTTAGCAATAAATAATAATATTAATAATAAGAGTAATAATAATAATAATAATAATAATAATGATAAAAGTAATAATAATAATAGTTATAGCAATACAAATAATAATTGCAATAATCGTAATCGTAATAGCGGTAATGTTTAACCGATATTTTGAAAGTGAAAGGAGTTGAAAATTGAAATTGAAATATAATTGATCATAATAATAATTAATTGTTATTGTTAATTGTTACAATTAATTATGATTATATTATAGGTGAGTAATATTTTGATTACCTATCTAATCGATTAATAATTACTTTGTGGATTCAAACACAAAAATAAAATCATAAAGCCTCATACGAAATATTATTAATAATAATATTAATAATTGTGAAATAATAATAATAATAATTGTGAAATATTAATAATATTTTACATATTTCTATATAAATATTGTTAAATAATAACCTTGCCAGGACTCATCGTCTTTCTTTCCCTATATGATTGAGTGGGTAAATGATGAAATAAAAGAAGGGAGAAGAAAGAAATAAAAAAGGAAGGCGTGAATGAGTGAATTAACGAATGAGTGAATGAAAGAATGATACAATAAGTGAGTGAGTGGGTGAGTGAGTGATGATTGAGTTTTATTTTCTAATTTATTAATTTGTTCAACCATTGATCCATATATACACGCAATAATTAATTTCACTCACTCCTTCATTCACTCACTCACTCACTCACTCACTCACTCACTCACTCACTCACTCACTCACTCACTCACTCACTCACTCACTCACTCACTCACTCACTCACTCACTCACTCACTCACTCACTCACTCACTCACTCACTCACTCACTCACTCACTCACTCACTCACTCACTCACTCACTCACTCACTCACTCACTCACTCACTCACTCACTCACTCACTCACTCACTCACTCACTCACTCACTCACTTACTCACCCACTCACTCACTCGCTCACTCACTCACTCACTCACTCACTCACTAATTCATTCATTCAATCATTCATTCAATCATTCATTCATTCAATAATTCATTCAATCATTCATTCAATCATTCATTCAATCATTCATTCAATCATTCATTCAATCATTCATTCATTTTTTTATTCATCCATCCATTCATGCATACGCCATTTATTTATCATTTCGTTGTTTTTCATTTCTTTTATTTCTTTATATATATTTATCCCAAGCAAACATTAAATACCCGATGAATCATTGAATTGTCGCTTTACATATTTCTACTTGAATTCATTCAATTCCTTATCCCTCCATCTATCATGTTATTCATTTAATCAATCATTCATTCACTCATTCATCCATTAGTTACTCAATTCATTCAATCAATCATTTATTCATTCATTAGTTCGTTCGTTCTTTCATTCGTTCTTTCGTTCGTTCGTTCGTTTCTTAATTAATCAAATAATTCATTCGTTCATTCTGCAATTTATCCACTCATCCATCTATTCACCCATCCATCCATCCATCCATCCATCCATCCTCTCACTTCCGGCAAATGTATCCTCTCACTCCCGCCTGTATCTTAGTAGCGGCCATGTCCTTTCTTTTTCCGTCGTTATCATAACCGTCACCGTGGCCGCCATGTTGATGACGTTGATGATGGTTATCGTTGTACTTCCGGTTGGTCCTGCTGACGTCATCGTCGTTATCTTCAAAGGACTTCCGGCCCGGATCGACACCTGATTCTTAACGTGTGAAAAATAGATAGTTTGGAGAATTAAGGATGAGGATGATGACGATGATGATGAAAGAAATGATGATGATGGTGATGAAGATGAAGACGACGACGATGAAGTAGATAGTTGTGATGGTGACGTAGCGATGATAACAATTTGTAATGATAGCAATTCCAACAGAACGATCATTCTTGCAATAATGATCGTTATATAACTTCAAAAAGACGATGACGTCATTTGTGAGTTGCAGCCCCAAGCCCATCACCACCACCATCATAATCATTAATAATAATAATATAAATAAAAATAATATGGTTATTATTATTATTATCATAATTATTATTATTATAGAGAAATATAATGTTAATAGATAAAAAAGAAAAAAAAAAATAATAACAATAATAATAACAATAGCGATTACTATTATCATCATTATCATTTACCGATCCTAGTCAGCTCTTGTTGATGATCGCCATCAACGCCACTACCACCGTTATTCACTTTATCACCATCACCACCACCACCACCACAAATAACAACATCATTATCAGGACCGACACTGGCATCATCATCATCGTCGCAGCCGCCCCCGGGTCTCTCGGTGCTACTTTTGGCCTTTTTCCGTTTCCGACTCGAGCAAATTCCCATGCTTTTAAAATTGATGGTCGTTTACTTGGAAGGGTGGTGGTGACGATGATGATGATGGTGATGGTGGTAGAAGTGATGATGATGAAAAAGGGAAGAAGAAGAAAATGATGATGATGGTATGATGACTATAAATGTTATGATGACGATGACGATGATGATGGTGGAAATGATGATGATGAAAAATGGAAGATGATGATGATGAAAAGGGGATGATAATGATGATGATGGTGATGACTATAAATGTGATGATGGCGATGATGATGATGATGATGATGGTGTGATGAAAAAAATGATGATGATAGAAATGATTATGGTGATGATAAAGTCAAATATAACAACATGATGACGAAGTTTAAAATGCACATGACATGATTATGACTACGATGATGATGATGACGTCAATGATGGTGATGAGGATGATGATGAAAGTGATGACGATACCAACAGTGAGTGATGTCAACGATGATGACGTCAGCGATGATGATGACGTAATTATGGCGGTGACAAATGCACTGCCCTTAGGAATGTGCAAATATAGATTGGGTGTAACCTAAGTTAGGAATGTCCAATACTTCCTGTTACACGCACAGCAAGACATACAAACCCATTTCACATACACAGGAACAATCGACCAATGAATGTTAGGGTTAGGGCAGCGAAATAATTTTTTAAAAATTATTTAAAAGTCATTTAAATAAATTTCTATCAACGACTTATTAGTGATTGAATTATTTTTATTTTTTTTTAAGTTTAATAATTTTAAAACGATAAAAGTCTTATTTAAAAAATACCATATTAAATTACATTAAGATATTGCATGATTTCACAGTAAATTTGTATCGAATTAAATTATAATCAAGCTACATTACAATACAACACGCTACGCTATTAGCTTCAGTTACAATACATTACAACACAACAAGTTACGTTATTAACTTCAATTACAATACATTACAATACAACACGTTATTAACTTCAATTACGTGAAAAATTTCAAAAGTTAAAATCTCCAGAGCCACCGAAATGAACGTGTCATACATTTCTTCCCCGTTCCCAGCGTGCATTTCTTCCTTGTGCACACTGTATTGCATACATCGGTAGTGCACATTCTGCACGCCATAGGTGCATAGGTATGCATGTATGTATGCATGCATGCATGCATTTAAGTATGTATGCATGTATGTATGTATCCATGCATGTATGTACGTATGTATGGATGGATAGATGGATGTATGTATGGATGTACTGAGCGTATGAAGGAGAATATTTATTTGATTGCATATATATATATATTTCCGTCATCATAAGTATTATTTTTTGGCTAGTTTTTACGCAGGACGCCCTTCCTTACGCAACCACAGTTATGAGCGGTGGGACTAGCCTTTGATGATTCAACATCACTCACAAGGCAGTGAGGGTCAGTTTAATGTCATAAGCAGGACAATTGTATAGACATGTGTTAAGAAGGGATGAAAGGGACGGGATTAGGCGAGCGTTGTAGTTCGAGGTTGAAGGAGTGGTAGGAAGGGGTCGTCCGCGATTGGGATGGAGAGAGCAGATGGAGAAGGTCAGGGTGAAAGCGGGGTTGCGTGATACTGAGGCGAGTGACAGATGTGGATGGCGTCGAGGGGTATTTCGGTTTCATCATAGGTAGCCAAACGGCAACTCCCGATCTCGGGGAAAATGTCGTCTAAACGTGTGTTGTTTGTTGTTGTTATATATATATATATATATTTATTTATTTATTTGTTTTTATTTATTTATTTTTCATTAAAGAGGACCAAATAAGTTTAAAATAAACTTGGGGAGAGGCCACCCTTAACTAAGTCACATAAATAAATATAAAAGTTCAAAAGTTAGAAATTAAGAAAATCCATTTCAGCGATCAAATGCATTCAAATACTATATCAAAATTTTATAAAAATGTTAACTAGAATGAAATACATTCAGATAATACTTATGAAGTAGTCAAATAATCACAATAAGAGCGGACAGACGAAAGCACACACGCACCACACACACACACACACACACACACACACACACCCATTCATATTTAAACAACAGCTATATATTAATGTATATAAATCGTTAGATGGTGGTTTCGGGGTGAAGTAAGTAAAGCTGAGATCGCACTCTTTTTTTGAAGAGTTGCTTGTTTGTTATGTTATGAATGGCATGGGGCACAAATATTTTCCAAATTTTAGGGCCAGTTGTTTTTAAACTTGTAGAGATGAGTTTAAGGCGAGTTTTTACAGAGTAAAAGATAGTAGTGTGTCTAGTTTTGAGAGTTTGAACAGATTCACTGAGTGTATAAAAGTTGGAAAAAAATGAGGGAAGTAAATTATTTAAAAACTTGAAAACAAAATAGCTGTAAAATAAATGTATAAACAACTAATCGACAAAATATTATGTTTAATAAAAAAAGAGCTAGTGGGAGAGAAAGGGTTCAAGTTGAAGATTAAGCGTATAGCTCTTTTTTGTGACAATATCATACAATGAAGATAGTAGAGTTTTTATAAGGCGGATTTGGTTAATTTGTGCTTGATTTTGTAGAAAAGACCTATGAGTTTGTTAATTTTAGAGGAGATAGATTGTAGATGAGATTCCCAAGAAAGGTTTTCAGATATATATCTATATATAGTGTCAGAATTATGAAATAATGCTGACTAAAAATACTGCAAAATTTTCAACGCGAAATTTATTCACTCGATAGGGGGCATGGTGCAAGTTAATTTACTCGATAGGTGACAACGTATTTTTTTTGTTTTGCAATTTAGATGACGTCATAAATTATTATAAATTATTTTAAAATTTAATTAATACTTTTTCTGATTAATTGGACATGCCTTGTAGATTTTTATGTTTTAAAACACCCGAAACAAAATCTAATTTTGTTTTGATAAGGAAGGGTGTGAAAAGACTTGGGAGAGTCCGCTCTGGGTTGACTAGTGAGGCAGCTTCGAATAATCAGTGCCTCTTCTGGTCCCTAAGAGACTTAACGCGTGATTCTATGCTCATTGGCATAGTTTCAGAAACGTCTTAAGTTCTCAAAGAGTCAGCCTTGGGTTCACCAGTTAGGCAGCTTCGAGTAATCAGTGCCTGTTCTGGTATCTAAGAGACTTAACGCGTGATTCTATGCTCATTGGCATAGTTTCAGAAACGCCTTAAGTTCTCAAAAGTGGATTCAATACGAGACTCTATGCTCATTGGCATAGTTTCGCACGCGTACTGAAGACACACAATTTGTTACCAGTGTTGTTCTGACTCTTGTTGTCTTGTGTTGGTCGTGCGAAAGCCGATCAGACTTGACGGCCCAGTGAAAACAGGCCAAGGTTGTGCGAAAGCCGACCGACTGACAGACAGGCCCAGTGAAAACAGGCCCTTGGTCGTGCGAAAGCCGATCAGACTTGACGGCCCAGTGAAAACAGGCCAGGGTTGTGCGAAAGCCGACCGACTGACAGACAGGCCCAGTGAAAACAGGCCCTTGGTCGTGCGAAAGCCGATCGGACTTGACGGCCCAGTGAAAACAGGCCCTTGGTCGTGCGAAAGCCGATCGGACTTGACGGCCCAGTGAAAACAGGCCAAGGTTGTGCGAAAGCCGACCGACTGACAGACAGGCCCAGTGAAAACAGGCCTTGGGTTCTGTGAAAACGAATCCGCCTCGTTGTTTTGTTTCTTGTGCTATTTGTGGACCTAGGGTTCTTTGCTGGATTCTATACTCATTGGTATAGTTTCACACGCAGCTTGGAATTTCCATAGGCTCCGATTTTTGTAATTTATTTTCTTTTATTTATTGGAGTTGTATCGACATCACCATCGGATACACACGTCGAAGTCGTACGATTAAAACGCCAAGAAACATATTCCAAGTTGAAGACCCAACAAGAAGAGTTCTAATTCCTGTATTCCAGTTTGTTCATTGACATTTACATTCTTTTAGAGTTCATTAGTTCAATTCCTTTTATTTACTTCCGTCGATTAATAAAATTGTTATCGAATATTTTTTACGCGTTTGTGTGTTACTCAGTAAAATCATATAATTCGAAAAAGCCCAGTGCCACACAGGACTGGTCGAACTCACGATAAAAATATACACAAAAATTATTGTCGGACCATACAAAAATTCCCTGAGAAAGATAGAGGAGGAGATTGCTTCCTCTTATCGTTTTGATTTATTATTATTTAAAATTTCCGACAATTGGCGCCCAACGTGGGGCCTTGTCACCCTTTTAAAAATCCTCCTCCTCCTCATATCATTATTATTTATTATTTTAAAATCTCCGACAATTGGCGCCCAACGTGGGGCCTTGTCACCCTTTTAAAAATCCTCCTCCTCCTCATATCATTATTATTTATTATTTAAAATCTCCGACAATATATATATATATATTCTATAAATTCTACCGAATGTTTGGCGTTAATATGTTTGTAGTTCGTTTTTTCGATTTTTCTCACTAAAGTTTTTGGTGAACGTTTAGTTTATTAAAATTCAAAATAAACTTATTTTTCGAATTCATGCTGCAAATAAGGCCATATTTCGATTCCGAATGAATCATCGTCAGTGCTCCTTGTTGTATATTAATATTAACTTTGTCAAGATTAACTTTGACGTTGTAAAAATTAACTTTGGTGTTGTAAAATTGAACTTTGATGCTAATTAGATGTCAGGTTTCTTAATTGGCTGGTCATCTTCTTTGGTCTCCTTTTCTTCATCGATAGCATCATATTCTTCTTTGTCGTGTAGTTGCTGTTCTGGTATATTACTTTGGTGTTGCTGTCGAGGATTTCACGGCTAATTGTGATTGAGTGTGTTGAGTCCAAATGAGATTTGCTGTCGAGGGTTTCACGGCTAATTGTGATTGAGTGTGTTGAGTCCAAATGAGATTTTGACAGCAACTACACGCATCTTAAAATTGCAGAAGCAGTCCTAATCGACATCAATAAACCAAAAATAAATATACAACAAAAAATGACAACCTCACTTCCAACCCGGCGCTTAACCAACAACGAAAACAAAGAAGTAATAAAAACTAGCA